TATATCATCGCTTTCATCCTACGGTCGCTGTTCAACTGTGATGAAAAACTTGTCATAATTCACGATCAGCTCCAATAAAATGTTTACCTCAGTCACTGTATATCTTGTTTGAGGTCCCTCTACGTTCGGTGAAGCGTGAAAGCATCACCGAAAAGGAGTCAACAGAAATGGTCTGAACAACTTCTAAGTGAACTGCTCGAGTTTTTGGACAGGTAAATGTGCATCCATATGTTTTATCTACGCGTGAAACTAAAAAGGTCGAAGTGGTCTACTTCACTGTTAGAAAATGGAAAATCTGACATTGCCCTTGTTACTAGTAAGTCTGCCATCGATTGTTTGTTGGGTTTCGCTAACCAACGCATCTGTTCACCACATGGTCAACTACTGACGCTCCTCTCAGTATCCAATACTGCTGACAAAATGCTGACAAAATATAAGCTACTCCCATATATCCTCCAGTTCCATGATAATGGCGAATAATAACTTCCGTGACAGGGTGAGTTCCAGATAAAATATCACTGAATGCATTCTTGAACTTGACAGTCTACTATTACTCGGTCATCCACCAACAAATACCAAGTTACGTAAGCTGATGAGGTGATACGCTTCTTGATACTTTGAAGACGTAACTTCTATTTACATCTTTGAATAGCATTCTTCGAGTTCACCGAATCTTTGTCTTTGGACGTATCTAAGAATGTCGTCCTCTGATTCTAACATCTCAATTTGTTTATAAAGGGCCTTCTATTAGACGCTCAATTTGAAAACCTGCACTTGGTTCTAGTCCCAGTGGGAACAACATCACTCACTGCGGAATTCAGATACATCCAGCTAGCGAGTTCCAAGTAGGAAGAAAAGCGCATCCTAGATTCCACACTCCTAGTCAGCATCCACCAGTTGACTTCAAGTGAAATGACAAGACATCGTCGAAGCATCTGCACAAGGAGCAGGCATGTCATCAGATGCCCAGCAATTCGGTCCAAACAGTTGACGAGAAAATTAAAATTGAATCAGATAATGGATATGAAATTTTAAAATATTTTCAAAAATGAACATCATAGAATTGATTATAATAAAGGTATTGAGTATTTCCCAATGAATTAAAAACAAAAAGATATTGTCGTTGTTTTACGAACGCTTCGCTATTTAATGCTGCTGCTAAAAGCTTTATCAAAGTAGTAGTATGAAATAAGAATTCACAAAATCTCAGCTTTTATATAACGACCATATCATCATTCCTCAGCATGGGGTCACTTTTAATTGTCAAATTGGCCAATTCATAAAGATAACAAAGCCAAGTGTAGATTGTTGGACTTGATGAGTGTGTAAAATTATAAACACTGTGTGATTACATAATGAAATTGCTTTTCACAATCGTGTTGATTTTGTCACTTCATGGGGGAGGGGAGGGGGTGCTGTTAACATGTCAAATTCTATTTTAGTCCATCATTCCTATTCAGACCATTGGGATCTCACTTGATATGAAATGCTTCTGATGATATCAGACGTTCTTTGTGATTTCTGAAATTCTTCCGGATGATGAATTCAACATTGCCAAAATGAATTTTGTGGCCTGATTCCACAGTGTGGGGTGCAGACCTATGACTGATAATTTTTCAAGCTTTTCTAGTTCAACTGAATTTCTCAGTGGTCAAACAGATGCTCTAAGGTGTTTATTTCTTTTGATTTTGATTTCTCGAGATGTATGTCCGATGTAGATCGCATCACATTCAAAGCATTTTATTTTGTAGATACAATTAGATAGGGAATGTTTAGGGATTTGCTCTTTTATATGGACAAGGTTGCTTTGTAGTGTGTCGGATTTTTTGAAGGAAACTCTAAAGTCGAGGTGATTGCGTACTATTCTGATGTCGTCTGACGTCTCCACTCTATATGGAATAACAACTGGTGTGGGCCATGTTTTCGGAATGCTCTTTCGGCCATAATTAATTCCTGTATTGATTTTGTTGATGAAGTTCCTTGAGTAGTTATTTTGCTTAAGAGTCTCAGTAATGTTTGATATTTCTTCTTCTCTTTCTTGCTCATCCGTTATCAGAGAGTGTGCTAGTCTAAGAAGACTTGAAACAACTGAAATCTTTGCGCTGATGGGGTGTGATGATTTGAAGTCTAAATATTTATTGGAGTGGGTTTTCTTCCTGAATATGGATATACTAAAATATCCTTTTTCCCTTCTCTTAACTAGGCAGTCTAGAAATGGTAGTTCACCAACGTCTGATTCTGCTTCTGAGGTAAACTGGATTCTGGGAGATACACAGTTTGTTTTCTCCATAAATGAACTGTGTTGATCTTGTTTTACCACTATGAAAGTACTATCTCCATATCCTAACCATATTTTAGGCGTGAGTTTGTTTGAAAAGATGTTATCTTCGAATCCATTCATGAAAAGGTAAGCTACTGTTGAGGAAACTGGTGAATCTATGTCAACACCCTTTGTTTGTCTAAACAAATTCCCTTTAAATGTGAAATAATTACTTTCCAGACACAATTTAAAGCTCTTAATTATTTCACTAGTGTCCTGTGGACATCTTTGTGATAGTGCTGTATCTGATTCTAGTAGACTGGATCACCGAAAAATCCGGTTGAACTAGAAAAGCTTCAAAAATCATCAACCACAGCTCGTCTAGACGCCACACTATAGAATCAGGCCACAAAATTGACTTTGACAATACTGAAATCATCATCCGGAAGAATTTCAGAAATCACAAAGAACGTCTGATATCATCAGAAGCATTTCATATCAAGTGAGATCCCAATGGTCTGAATAGGAATGATGGACTAAAATAGACTTTGACCTGTTTACAATACCTCCCTCCCCTCCCCCATGAAGTGACAAAATCAGCAATTTCATTATACAAACACACACTGCTTTTATAATTCTATACACTAATCAAATCCAACATTTGTCTACACCTGGTTTTGTTATCTTCACCAATCAGCCAACTTGACAATGAAAAATGATCCCATACTGAGGAACGATGATTAAGTTGTTTTATATAAGCTGAGATTTTCTAAATTCTGGTTTAATAATACTTTAATAACGCTACTAGCAGCAGCTTTAAATAGCGATACGTCAGTGAAAACGACAATATCGTTTTGTTTGTCATTCATTAGGAAATACAAAATACCTTTATTATAATGAAAAGTATATACCCAATGCCTAAATGTTTTCAAAATGTTAGAAGTGAACTTGATTTGGACATATGTATCGTAGAATTCCACCTGAATCTTACTGAAACTCGGTATGAAAGCAAGGTGATACACTATACACAACAGACCTTTGCAATGTAACACAATTTGTGTATTTCTTTTCTTTTTAAGTCAGTTGAAGCTGTATTGCATAATCTCTTTATTTAAGAAATATCCTTTATTATACAACAGTTTTAGACTTCATATTGTCAAGTCGGATAGCTGTGTCGCCCAGTTTCGAAACTCTTAGTCAATACTCATTAACAACCCCACCGAGGATCAAAGCTACGAATTCGGATCATGTGACTAGTCTTTTCGTTTTCAACGGTACTGTGATTGATCTCAGTCTGTGGTCATAACTGAAGCCAATCAGATCTTAGCAAAATCATGTCGCTGAAAATTTCCTAGGTGTAAAGGGATTCTCAGGATTTGCCTCAATTGGAATTAATTAATTACTACCTGAAATTTGTACCAGGTAGGTCAATCACGAGCCCGAATAGCTCAGTGGTAACGTCTCTAACGGCAGCAATGGGTGGTGTCTTGGGTTCGACTCTCAGAAGGGACATAAGTTCCTTGATATGTACCCACATGATGTGTGTTTTCTTTTTGACAGTCTATTATATTTTGCTATGTGTATATGGATCGATATTCCATTATAACTCACGTTATGCTTTTGTCTGTCCGCTAACCAAATAAACAATGTGTGACCTTATTATCACATGACATTATAACCAATTATGGTAAGACGTTATCTTATTGGTTCATGTGTATTAGCCATTTTCATATATACTTTTGTACTGGATTCTTTCTCGTTCACACACATTTCGTACACTCGTACCATTTCACTCACACACTTGTGTGATTTTATTTTCCTTGTCTGGAAAATACAAGTATCATCGTAACCCTCGTGGTCTTCTGATTTCCCTCTTTCCGCGTCAGGACTATTAACTACTCGACGAGTACATAACATAATTGGTGACGAGGAAAATTCTAATAGCAGTACATAACATTCCTTCAAGGTTGCAGATACGCCTTGCTGACGAGTGAGTGCCAATTAGCATGATACTTAGGTACAGCCAAGGCTTCCTGAGGCCGATTGCCTCCAACTATCTAATATCATCAAATCAATGTGTGCACCGTGATGGCGAGCTACCTGGTGACATGGCGGCCACATTGCAAACCTGACTGATATAATTATGTCTGCACCAAACACCAAGGACTAGACACATCACACTAGTTACTGACTAGTGTCCAACCAAACTACCCACTACAATCCTACAAGAGGTCGACTTTGTTTTCATCGACGTTTCTACACACCTAATACCAGTTGCTGTTTCAAAGTAGTAGTAGTAGTAGTAGTAGTGGACCAAAATTTATAAAATCTCAGTTTTTCACATAAACGAGACAGTTCCTTGTCCTTTTTTTGCTAACGCTGATTTGAACAACTACGCGTTATATTATACATGCATATAAAAAACATTAAAAAGTTATCTCTGCATGCCTTATTGATTTTTGACAACCCGTACAATGATAACCTCTTCTAATCAATTAAGTTTTCTAAAATCCCTTTTTATCCGTTTGTATATGTATATTTAGGCATCCAGACATTTCCAATAATAATTGTGAATAAATAAAGGGCATATAAATGCCACAACGAATGCCAGCAATATCCAATCTTTCCTTGTCCTATAGACCGACTGTATTTTTAACTGTATTATGATCGATAAAATCAATTTTAGTTTTGTTTACCCAGTCACAACATCATGTGTAGGTCATTCTGTGCAGTCTTTTCCCAATATAATATAACCAGTTAGTGTGCAGGCGATGAAAATGTTTTCAGCCAATCAGAATTCATAACCTGGCTAGTTAGTTAGTTAGTTGCCTTAAGTATTTTACTAGACGTATAAATTATCTCAGCACAGTAGGCTTAGTTGAAGCATATTCCCTTACAGTGATGATAGGGCTGACTATGTCTTTCTACAATTACATTGTAATATTTTGTTTCATCGAGTATTCCTGTGCCAAACCACATCTAGAACCTGTGGTATGTTTTACAATCTTTTTGCTAATATAGATGATATATATGACAGAGTCGACGAGATACAGAACATTTTGTCAATGATCCTGAAAGACATGATATTGAATTTGATCATAATGCCTTCTTGGGTGAAGAGGTCGCCAAGGAGTTCTCTCGGCTAACACCAGATGAAAGTGAAGAAAAATTGAAGTAAGCTGGTGGTTGTAAAATAATTTTCGTGGAAAATTCTTGTTTCATTAGACATATTGTTAGGAAAATCGATAAAGATAGTGATGGCAGAATAACTGAAACAGAATTAAACTTTTGGATTAAATATGTGGCGGAAAAAGCTAAACTGAACAGTACAGAACGTCAGTGGAAAGATGTAAATCCAAGTGGTCAGCTAACAATTAAATGGGAAGAGTATTTGGAGAAAACTTATGGACGTGAAGAAGGTAAATTATTGTTGACTTAAACAATTTAGCACTAAGTAATTCCATATTAGTTTGTTTATCAGATGTGTCACACAGTGATGAAACAGTAATACTGTTTACCTGATGATGTTTTGAACACAATTCATTATTGTTCATAATCATTCCATCAATTATAATCACACGACTTCGGAACCTTGAGTTTTATAGTTTTCTTTGTTCTCTCCTATTTGTCGTCGTAGGGGTAGTAGAATTTTCCAGAAGTTCGAGTGGACATGTATTAAATCATTCCTATTACACATATCCCTTCTCAGTTGATTCGATGAACAAAGTTTCCGCTGGAATAAATCTCTCCCTTCACCCTGTGACATTAGATTTAAAAAGTGTCATCTTATCCCATCCATCCTATTGTATGGTTGTATGTAATTGCATGTAGTGAGCGCTATAGCTATAGCTGAACTATTCTCTAGATTTCTTATCTTATTCAGGTCACTTAATCTAGATTTTGCTAGGTTTTTTGTGCTCGGTTAGTCTGACTGCCCTGTTCTACTACTCTGACCTATCTATTTGACCTGACAATCATTGAAGGCAGGGTATTAGATGAACTAAAATTGTTTTGTTTTATTGGCTCCACAAAATTGATCGTTTAACCGACGAAGCTTCTTTCTAATTGAGTTTGTGGGTTTGAAAGCCAGCCACTTTTATTCCTCCAAGAATTGTTAAGAATTCTGTGTAAAGTGGTTTCCGAGGTTCCTTCCTTGTATGGAATTACTACTGATGATTTAGATTCATTATTGGAAGTGTTGTCTTTCGCATGTTTGACTTGCATGTCGTCATTAATATTATTATTATTATCACTATCACTACTATAATTATTTATTTTATTTTTACATTTCCCTACATACTTTCTGACTAATTTATCAGGGTAATTATTAAGTTTCAAGGCTTCTTCTCTTATATGCCTCACTTCATGTTATAGATTTTCTTTGGTACTACTTAGTTTTTGTGCTCTATCACTTAAACATTTCACCAATCCTATTTTTACTGACATAGATTGGGTGGGATGATCTGAAGTCCAAGTATCTGTTTGAATGTGTGGGTTTCCTGTAAATACACACCAGTGTTTAACTTCCATCTTCCTACGTTTATATGCTGCAATCCAACATTGCAAGCTCCCCCGATTCCTGACTTTCCAATTCATAAGTGAATAGAAATGCTTCCACCTTTGAGTTAATGTGTTTGAAAAATTTCTCTATATCCTGTGTTCTAAGTACAGTTTTAAGTACAGTACAGAACCGTCACAGGGTGGCGAGAAAGATTGATAACAGAAGCTTTGTTTATTGAATCAACTGAGGAGAATATGTGTAATAGGAATGATTCAACACCTTTCCACCCAGATATCTAGAAAATTTTCCTACCACGCTTACGACGACCAATAGAAAAGAATAGAGAAAACTACAAAACTCAAGTTCCGAAGTCGTGTGATTAGAATTGATGGAATGATTATGAACAATAAATTTTGTTCGAAACTGTGTTATCCAGTAAACAGTAATACTGTTTCAGTGACTGTGTGATACATCTAATAAACAAACTAATATGGAATTACTTACTACCACAGTGCCCAAGTTTTACACTTATATTATTATGTTTTCCAGTAATTGACTAAATCATGTTCACTGAAAATTCATTCATCTCTTTTGTTACTTGAATTACTTCACGTAGATTACTGGTGCGTCGGTGGCACGGCGGTTAGGATGCTCGCCGACCATGCACATGGTCCGGGGTTCAATCCCTGGCCGACGAACTCCTTTACCTCACTTAGCCAGTAATTAGACTGGTAAAGAGGGAAGGTAGGCATGAGGCTAGCAACCCCATCCTGTAAAAATAAAATCTGCTACAGAAACTTCATTCCCATTGCACGTGTTGGGTGTAGACTCGATGAAACAGGCGGCATTAAGTTATCAACCTCTCTCTTTCCACCTACATAGATTACTTCATAGAATTTTAACACTCTCACATCTTATTGTATGGTTATGTGTTGATGGATGCAGTGCAATTGCTGAGCTTTTCACTAAAAAACTTATCTTCTCATGGTCAACCATTCTTACTTCAGCTAAATTCTTATGTTCCGACAGTCTGACTACGCCCGATCTATTAGTTTGACCTATGTAGCTGACCTCACAGTGAATGCAAGGTATTTTGTAAATTATATTATTTTGTTTAATTGTGTCCACCAAGTCCTTCAGCCTACAGAGCCTTACTTTTAGTGAGTTAGTAGGTTTGAATGCCACTCTAATTCCTGCTTTATTAAGAATCCTACGTAGGGTCTCAGAAGTTCCCTCCTTATATGGTATAACACTTGATGACTTATATTCTCTCTTATTTATGTTACCAGTACTAGTTTCACAATTATTTCTATTTTGGTTTCGGCCTTTTTTCGAACTTCCTAATGAAATTTAAAGCATACTTATTTGACACCAACCAGCTATTCTTCCATGTGTTCTACTTCATCATTTAGGTCTTTTCTTGTGCTACTTAGTGCTATGGCTTGGTTTGTTAGACATTTCACTAAACCTGCCTTCACAGACAGATAACGAATGGATGAGATGAATTAAAGGAGTCTAACTATCTATTAGCAGAATGGGTTGGTTTTCTATAGACACTAGTGTGTAGTTTACCTTCTTCTATTCGTTTTATTTTACAATCTAACATCACAGCCAATTCTCCTTGTTCATTATCCGATTCAAATGTGAATTTTATTCGCTCTACTCAAAAGTCACTCGTCTTATTTCCCATTTGATTGTACTGGGTAACTTTGTTCTATGAGTAAGTTCAGGATCAACAGTTAGTAGTTCTCTAAGGCGGCCATATTGATTGGTATATCAGTGTAAAGACTAGTTATATCAAAACTAATCATTGTTTTTCATTATTCTCTAATCAGGTGTCATTTAGTTTCCTTTTCATTTCATATGAATTAGTCAGCTGGCCTAGAGTTTGAACAATTTCTAATGAGGCATAATATTAGAGCTAAGTGTTATAACTGTAGGGAATTAAATGAGGACGTTGTCGCCTTGTTCTGTCTGCGCCTGACTTATATGCCTATCTGCTTGTGGTACCTTCCGATTCAGTGAAGCACGCAAATATCAAAAGACAAAGACTGGACTGTGACTGTGTATTGTAGTACACCAACAACGACAAAGAAAGTCATGGTATTTATACATTTTTACAACAATATAGACAGCTAACAGCATTTGAAATAATTGATCGTAATAGTCAATAACAAAGTGCGTGAGAAATGATAATATACCATCTATGCGAGATTAACAGTCAATAACAAAATGTGTGGGATCCTATCACAAAGTGTTTTTGATATTTCATAAGTAGGGGTATTTCTGAAATCTACTATTGGTCATATGGGGTAACCTGACTTATATATATATAAAATATATATATATAATATATATATATATATATATAGTACCATATATTCTACTAGCATTATTAGTTTTAGGCATTAAATTAAGCTAGTTAAACCCACCCAGTGACAGCTTCATACTACATATTAAATCTGCTGTAGATTTCATAATCTTATTTAACACTGTGTGATTTGTCAAAGTTAAATCTTATCTGTAATGCAGTTTTACATACTTGATTAGTGTAAAAATAGATCAAAAATGTTCCATATTACTTTGTATATTAGACATATCACACAGGGACTGAAACAGTATTAGCATTTACTGGATGACAAAGTTTCGAACAAAATTTATTACTGTTCAATAATCATATTAAGTGTAATAACCACACAACTAAAGAACTTGAATTTTATAGTCTTCTTTGTTCTCTCACAAATAAATTATTACAACATTCGGGCACATACTTGAACAGGTCAAGTGAATGTGCCAGAAGGTTTGAAAAAGGTTTTAAATAAATGCTTAAATTTGAATGCAAAAAGCTGAATTATGTAATCAACAAAATTACAATATTCCTTAGAACATTAAAAATATTGAGGAGTTTATAAGAGGAGTAATGGAGATAACTATTGAAGAAGACGAAATTATGGCAAGTTTTGATGTCGTTTCTCTATTACTAGTACGCCTTCCTATATGTGATTCACTTGACATTATAAATTAATGAACTTGAAAAACATCAGGAAGTATTAGCTAAATCTTCATTATCAATAGAAGAGGTTATAAAATGCTTAAAACTTTGTTTAGAATCTAAATATTCTGTCTTTAAAGACAAACTATATTGTCAAACAAAATGAAGTTGCAATGGATTCACCAGCATCTCTAATTGTAACAAACCTGTAGATGAAAGTTGTAGAAAGAAAAGCACTAATAAACTTTAGTTGTCATCCCAGAATATGAAATGGATATGTAGATGACACATTTATCATCATAAAGAAAGCAGAAAAATTTTTCAGGATTTCATCATGAGCAGACATTAGTTAGAGAACCATTGGAGAACCTGGGAGTACTGTAGACGACTGTTTCGTCCTAATTATGGGCTCTTCAGTAGTGCGCACCCACCGAGATTCGAACCCAGGACCTTCCGGTTACAAGGCTAGCGAGCTCGTAGACCATTAAGCCACCGAGACCCGATCCAGTGGCCCATGAATTCTGACTCCTCCCATTTCACGACATAGCGCGACCCCAGCCAATGTCTTCGGAGAGTATTTGTCCTCACACACACGACCGGATGCACCCTACTGGTCACGACTTCTCACTAGAACCCCAGGTAAATACGTACCTGAATAGGGCCAGTCACCAGTGAGCATCTCATTGGTATTCAAGTGTTGGTTTGTAGGGATTTGATTGGTTTCAGGATTTCATCATGAGCTGGCATTAGTTAGAGAACCATTGGAAAACCTGGGTGTACTGGACAGCTGTTTCGTCCTAGTTTGGGACTCTTCATCAGTACGAAACAGCTGTCCAGTACTCCCAGGTTTTCCAATGGTCCTCTAACTAATGTCAGCTCATGATGAAATCCTGAAACCAATCAAATCCCTACAAACCAACACTTGAATAGAAAAAATTTTAACAGAGATTAACTTAATCTCAGAATATATTGTGTTTACTAATGAAACAGAATCGGCTGAGGGAACTCTAAACTTTCTTGATTGTCTGGTAAAAAGACAATCGGAAGAGAAACTATAGTTCACGATACACGAGAAACCGACACATTCAAATAAATATTTGAATTTCCAATCAGATCATCCAATAGGAATGAAAGTGTCAGTAGCTTAAAATCTCGTTAACACAGCTAGAAACCTTATAAGAGATAATGATGACGATATGGAGAACGAGATATCCGATTGCAAATGGTCATCAGGAAAAGCTACTAAATAATATTCAAACATTTAAGGTTATGAGTGAGCCAGAATTTGGACACGTTTATTCTAATATACCTGAATCCCATTAACGTCGTGTTTTTTTTTCTAATCGTCAGCCACCTTTTCTAGTGTAACTAAACTTATGTAGCTCTCTTGACATTTTCATATATGCAGCTTAGCAATCTATTAGACCGAAGAAAGGTATATAGACTATCATATTTTTTAACTTTGTTCTTGTACATCAAAGACGCATGAGTCATTAAAACTAGGACCGATAACTATTCATCTTATTTAGTAGAAAAATAGTGTCTGTACGAAAACAAATGATTCACATCATCATTTCTAGACAAAAACTTGTGGCGTCATTCATTGATTTTTCGGGAAAATCTGTAATTTGATCACGAATTGGTAGAAGTTACAATTCATGGATTGGCCACTGAATCATGTCCCAGTGGCTGAATGGTATACAAGCTTGCCTTGTAGCCAGAAGGTCCTGTGTTCAAACCCCAACCTGTGTGTGCGTACTGCCGATGATTCCCAAATTAGGCTGACGAAACAGCTGTCCAGTACTCCAGTTCTGGTTTTCAATGGTTCTCTAACTGATATCAATCCGTGGTCAACTCGTAAAAAACATTTCTAACCCTTACAAACCAAACTATAGAAAATTGATCGCTTTTTGGGATTTCATCATGAGCTGACATTAGTTAGAGAACCATTGGAAAACCAACTGGGAGTACTGGACAGCTGTTTCGTCCTAGTTTGGAACTCTTCAGCAGTACGCACCCACCGGGATTCGACCCCAGGACCTTCCGGTTACAAGGCTAGCGAGCTCGTAGACCATTAAGCCACTGGGATCCGATCCAATGTAGCCTGTGAATTCTAACTTCTGCCAATTCACGACATAGTGATCTCTTTTTGTCGATTAAATTCACTGTCAAATCATTTTCTAACTAGACTACTCCTCAAATACCTGATATTTTATGCTTAAGTGTTGTTTAACGATAAAATCATGGTGGGAAATTTTATCTCATCTAAGTTGATTCACTGATCATAGATACCAGCATCTCTGCTGGTTTTTTGTTGATCCTCCTGAAACGTAGTACTGTTAGTATATGAGTGTATGGATAGCACGTATCCTTGATTCCACTCGTAGCAAACTACCCAGTAGCATTTCGTGATATCATTTGCAGGCAGGCGTATTCGGGACAGTTGAATCAATAGTGAAAAGTTAAATGAATATCATTCTGGATAAAATTTTATTTTGATAAATCACACAGTGTGTTTGTTATACAGTAATATTAAGTGATACGACCACGTTTCAAGCAAAAACTATTGACAATCATTATCATATCAAGTCACCCACTCACACAACTTTTTTCTTTCATTTATATACATGTGTCGAATTGACTAGATATGTGAATAAAAATCAATATCGGATAATGTAGATTCAGAAATAATAGTAACATGAGTGTTATTGAACCAGTACAATCAAATGGGAAATAAGACGAGTGACTTTTTAGTTGAAGGAATAAAATTCACATTTGAATCGGAAAATGAACATGGAGAATTAGCTGTGATGTTAGATTGTAAAATAAAACGAATAGAAGAAGGTAAACTACACACTAGTGTTTATAGAAAACCAACCCATTCTGCTAATAGATAGTTAGACTCCTTTAATTCATCTCATCCATTCGTTATCTGTCTGTTAAGGCAGGCTTAGTGAAATGTCTAACAAACCGAGCCATAGCACTAAGTAGCACAAGAAAAGACCTAAATGATGAAATAAAACAGATGGAAGAATAGCTGGTTGGTGTTAAATAAGTATGCTTTAAATTTCATTAGGAAGTTCCGAAAAGGCCGAAACCAAAATAGAAATAATTGTGAAACTAATACTGATAACATAAATAAGAGAGAATATAAGTCATCAACTGTTATACCATATAAGGAGGGAACTTCTTAGACCCTACGTAGGATTCTTAATAAAGCAGGAATTAGAGTGGCATTCAAATCTACTAACTCACTGAAAGTAAGGCTCTGTAGGCTGAAGGACTTGGTGGACCAATTAAACAAAATAATATAACATACAAAATACCTTGCATTCACTGTGAGGTCAGCTACATAGGTCAAACTAATAGATCGGGCGTAGTCAGACTGTCGGAACATAAGAATTTAGCTGAAGTAAGAATGGTTGACCATGAGAAGATAAGTTTTTTAGTGTAAAGCTCAGCAATAGCACTGCATCCATCAACACATAACCATACAATAGATGTGAGAGTGTTAAAATTCTATGAAGTAATCTATGTAGGTGGTAAGAGAAATTGATTACTGAATCCTGGTTTATTGAGTCTACACCCAACATATGCAAGGAGGATTTTATTTACGCCAGTCAAATCACAGGAGGATAATAAATAATCTCAAAATTCGACTTCAATTCAATTCAGGTACATCACAACATTCTAACAAGTTACTTGTTATGACCATAAAAACACTCGTCTTATGTCCCATCTGATTGTAATTGATCAATCACACTCATATTATTATTTCTGAATGTACATTATCTTATATTGATTTCTAGTCGACTCCACACATGTATGTAAATGAAGCAAGAGATTCGTGCGCGTGAGTGAGTGAGTGACTTGATATGATTATGAGTGGTGATAGCTTGTGCTCAAACGTGGTTGCATTAGTTAATATTACTGTATAACGAACACTGTGTGACACTTTATCAAAATAAAATCTTATCCATAATGAAGTTATGTCTGTAAACAGTAAGTTGTGTTCGAAATGCGATCCAGTAAATACTACTGTTTCACTATATAATCTACCTAATAACAAGTTTCACGCATGAATGTGTCTAAGCTTGAAATAACTGTAATCGTCCTTCAAACTTATTTATATTCTTTGTTAGATGACATCCATATCTAAGTAACCGAGAAATTTTTTCATTCGCATTTCATTCCGCTTAACATTGATCCTAGTTCTGCTTATTCTCACATTTTTATATTTCTAACAAAATCATTTGTAGAAAGACTGAGAGATGAAGCTACTTCTGAGTCCTATAAAGAAGCTGTTCGTCATGATCATCGACGATGGATTGCTGCAGATATCAATAAGGATAATCAATTGGATAAATCAGAATTCACGGATTTTGTACATCCTGAAGATAGACCGAATATGAGAGATGTTATCATTGATGTAAGTGTCATAATTTTTAGACTACGCAAGGCAAATAAATATATATTGCATTAGTTATTCCGCCGTCTTGATTCCGATAACGATGACATTAGGTACATGCTATAAGAGTCAGTAAATCATAGACACATTTAAAAATATTCATGCTATTTCACTTCATAACTTAGGGTAGTTGACAGATAGGTAGACACACTCTGAATGAAAAACTCCGACTGGAACAGCCTGAATTCACGCATCGATCAAACTGCAACACCATGGATCATCACTGAACAGAGCTTGGAATGACAGTCACCTGTCTGCCTCAACTTTATTGACTTTGAAAAGGTTTGAACAGCGTCGATCGAGAGGTGATTTGGCAGCTTCTTCATTACTACGGGGTGCCGCTAACAATTACACATCTCATCCAACAGTTGTACGACAATGCTGAATTCCAAGTAATCCACAACGGGAAACTCACGGAATCCTCCAAAGAAGTGAGGACGAGAGTAAGACAGTGCTTGCTGGCTGCCTACTATCTCCAATGGTTTTCCTGATTGCGGAAGACTGGACAATGCGACAGACAGCGACGGTCAGTGAAGAAACAGGCATTAAATGGACCTACAAACAAAAACTTGGTGGATCTGTTTTTTTTCCCGATGATATGTGTCTGATTTCCCACAAACTAGAAGATATGCAAATGAAAAGAAACAGGTTCGCAGAAGAAGCATCCAGAACGGATAGGGCTTCAGGAGAACATACAGAAAATAGAGGTAGGTGATTGAGATTCCTGGCCAACATCAATAGCGACAGCAAAAACAACAGACAACAATCAGTCGGTATAAATGGGAAGAACCTGAAAGAACCAACCTCCCTAACCTACCTGGGAAGCATCACTTCAACTTCAGGAGGACGGAACTGATGAGGTTATCAAAGTGAGGATCGGGAAAGCAAGACAAGCAATCATTACTCTCGAGTCTGTGTAGAAGTCAACCCTCAGCACTCAGCATGAAAAATAATATCCAGATTTTCAAATCCAGTGTGAAGTTAGTGCTACTATATGGATCAGAGACTTTGCGCGTCATAAAGAGCACTTCAAACAAACTACAGATCTTTATTCACAGCTGTCTTCGCTCAGTACTCAAAATCACATGACTAACCAGAAGAGTTCAGCAACAGGGACCTCTGGCAATGAGCGAACCAACACAACAGGAACCCATTGTGCAGCAAATAAGCAGGACGAAATGGAGGTGGACTGGCCATACTCTGAGAAAACGAACCATCAGACGCCAGGCCATTGCTCGAGAGGAACCCGGATGGGAAGCGGCGAGTTAGTCGTCAGTGTGAGGGTGACTTGGAAGAGGTGATGAGAAAAGGAGATGAAAGCCTGTGGACAGATGTGGAGCCAGTTGGAAACTTTGGCGGAGAAGGGAACGCAATGGAGACGTTTGGCTGAAGCCCTATTTTCCCCTAGGAATTCAAGGAAACAATAATAGTAATAATCAATCAGTGTAATGAACAAATTTTGTGGAAAATTCCTCCTAGACGATCTTGCTACAATATTTATACTTATTCAGGCATTCCTACTAACTTCGTAATTACTAAACAAAGTTCCCATAGACTGTGAATCATTAATTTGACATGTGCATACCACATGTTAATTTTCAGCTTTATTATTCTCCTCTGTCCTTGTTTAATCTCTGATTGTAGTGCTTCTGTGTGTGGTTGTGTGTACAATGACAATGTTTCGCTTAATGACATGAGTTTGTTAGAGTGAATGAAAGTGCTTCTGCCCGGGACGACTATCTGCAGGAATCCTTGTTGTGTATTCTTGTAGACACAGCTTTTGATCCCACCTCGTTGTGAATATTCTCCCTGATTCTAGGGTACCTTTTATAGTTGAACTTTGGTTAACTAGTTTTGTATAGCAGTGATACTTTTGTATTTAGAAACATGTATTGCCTATACACCTGCGTCAATTCAGTGTTGAGGTAAATTTGTATCTTGATGTCATCGCTGTTTAGTTGAACCGCCAAAATATTGAAGAATCATCGTCTTTTTCGTGCCTTTGGAACTCTTCGTGATAACGCGTGTCACAACAAGTTCTCTCGGCTAAACAACAGAACGTGGACATTAGTTTCTTGCGTTCAGACAATAATTGAATAAATTTGGTCGTTTCAACTTGTTGTATCTGATAAAAGCTTGTTATCATCAAGGCAGATGAAAGTTGACGTAAACATTCCAGAATGGTAGATGTTGTAGACACTTCCTTAACATCTTACCAAAAACTCGTCATTTTTTTTCGCTGACTTCATAAATCCCACCAGTTTTTAAAACAGATTCATTTTTCTTTCTATTCACAGGAATTGCTTGAGTCCGTTGACAAAGATAAAGATGGATACGTATCTGAGAAAGAGTATTTAGGTGAGTTTTTTGTTAATTCAAGTGCAAACTTGAGTCTGGTATTGGCGGGGAGGGTGCCTACTGCCAAAGAAGCGATTTAGTGTGATTAAGTTATGTATAACCTTTGAGTATTTCCTATAACATTATCAATCTACAAATTATCATATCAAGGTTGTTTATACTTCAGTAAACTTCACCGTGTAAAATGTCCTTTTGAGTTACCATTGTAACGACAGAAGACAAGAGCAAGGCAACAGACCCATTATTGAGGAAATCAAGAGATATTTATAGATTTTTATGTGCATTATTGTCCGTTATTATTAGCACAGAAATAGTCTTCTGATTGGTCGTTTTCTGACTGAAAGTTAATCTGCCATCTCTTTATGGCCGTTTGTTTGAAGGTCAGACCATATATCTGCTAGTGGCATCTATCCTGATTGGTTGTTGAGTTAGTCTTTGTTCTTGTTTTCTCTATTGACCGAGATATGAGCCCTAAACATTGACGTAAATTACTGTCTACTAATTTTGTCTAGCAGACAGCTCTCACAACAATAGGACATAAATCTCGTTAATGAAAAATCCCCATATTGAAATCAAAACAAGATTTAGAGCGAACAATTGTTTTGGATAACTTCTTCTTCAGGCTCTACAGTTATAAATCCATGAATAATAGAGTACATATAGCCAATAAAGGCAAATGAAAATATATCAGAAACTGTATTGGGGTGCGTGTATAAGTTGAGATGATAGTCCATTAGTTAACTAGTCAATTAAATGTATATAGGGTGCATAGTCAGAAAAATTGATGAAGTGTGAATGAGCAATCGGGTGATATAGTGTTGTTTTATAGTCAACAGAATACAAGTGTCATTAGGGTGAGAGAAATGTGATAACCAAAAAATACATACAAACACATATTAACAAAGGAGACACTGAATGTGAGGGCTGACCGATTATGTCTAATGATAGAATCAAGAGGCTATAATTGTAAACTGTAATAAGATGTTACAGAATTGGCAGGCTTAGTATGAAAGCACAAAGATTGACAAAAATTTAAGGGTAACGATGGGGTGAAATAAGCTGGGTGGAGAAATGGATAATAAAGACATGATATCATAAAATGATGATGATAATAATAATAATACGAAAATTATGATCCTTGTGACCTTATAGTGGGCCAGGGTAGACAGAGAGGTGAATAATTTTCTTCTGTACACATAGGTCCGTCTCTCTCTATCAATCTCTAAAGCCTCAGCTATGGCTAGGAGGCCCTTGGGGAGATTGTTCAGTACTCGATACACAACTGTAAATGATTCATCTAATTTGATGCTGTATTCGCTATCCACTAGAATAAATCGTTAAAAACTAGGTTGATTTGAGCTATCTACAAAAAATAATAGCGTTCTTATGATTAATTATGATTTATACCCAACAGCTGATCTTGCCCGCGCATATCAAAGCACTCCACTAAGCGAGAATGAACCTGAACCAGAATGGGTTGAACGTGAACGAGGTCAATTCCGTCGATTCAGAGATATAGATCAAGATGGTAAAATGGATAGGGCAGAAGTTGGAGAGTGGATAATGCCGACGAATTATGATCCAGTTGACGCAGAAACAAAACACTTATTTTACCATGCTGATAGTAATAAAGTGAGTTTGACTGAGGTTTTTTTCTCTTTTTTAATAAATATTTTGCGCGTCAGTAGTTCAGCAGTAGAGTTCCAGCTATCCAGACGCGTAATTCACGTTTGATTCCTGGAGGATGGCATCCTGGACGTCGTCTCCTTGGCAGTAATAATAATAATCTGCTTATTCCAAGACGAACAGTACTTAAAATACAGAAAGGAATTCTCAGCATTTCTCACAATACTGCATCTGATTTACTTAAAACATAAATAAAATTAAAAAATTAAAACAGGTAACCACAGGAATTTGTCCACATTTACGATATAAAGTCAAAAATATTCGAAGCACGAATTGAGAATATTAAATATATATAATAATAATAACAGTGAGTTTTTTTCAAACAGTACCGTCGATTCATTTTGGTTTGGAAATATTAGCATGTTATTATGGAGTATTGATTCTAATTTTCTGTTGGTATAGCAGCATGATGAGAGGAATTACAAAATTAACAGTTATAACACAGCTTAAATGAGGTTCACACTTATGAAAAATATAAACAAATAAAAACAAAAATTGAGAGGATTATAAATATAAGAAATACAATAACAATAAAGGTTGATACTGTAAGGGTGGAGGAAATGGTTTATTTAGTAGTATAAAGAGGTTAGTTAGTTAGTTCATGCCTAACACTATTTTCATTACATAAAGTACGTGCCGTGAAATATGGTATAGTGAAATTTTTATACTTAGACGTACATGCATAAAGTCTTCTGAAAAGACTTCTTGTTTTACCTGAGGAGTCACTAGGTTGGAGCTGTGGGTGCTGCGGTGGACGCTCACAGTGTGACAAAATTTACCCAGCAAATTTTTGCGTGACATCAAGTGCCTATCAATTACAATGTCAACGATATGGCCCTACTGACTGACAGTCTTCAGACTTCTACGAAGTATGAAGTCTTATTCAAGCAATCCAGGAAAGAATAAGGGTGAACAGTAAAGAAGAATAGTTAGGATGCATGAGCTGACAAACCGTAAGAGGAGGAGTGGTTGGGTTATGCCTGAATGCCCCAACTTCTTAATATAAGAAGTCAGACGAAATATTCGTTTAGAAATCGCTAAGACATGGGAAGACCAGGATAGGTTAGAAGAGAGAATTAATCCAAGATACTTAACTTCAGACATGGTTTCTATATCAGTATCATCAATTTTGCAAGGGTCATAGGAAGCAATAGCTTGATCATTTAACTTTCTTTTACATCGGAAACTGAAATTAACAGTATAACATTTGGAAGGATTTAGTTTAAGGCCGTTAGGCGAAGACCACTTGCTAATTCCTGATAGAAAGCTGTTCATCTTAGTACAGTCAAGGTGGGAGTTAACAGACATTGAAATAGTTAGATCGTCGGTATACCTAACAAAGTTAATTTCACCATCAGAGTGAGGCAAGTCATGCGAGAAGAAAGAAAACAGAAGAGGAGAAAGGTCAGCGCCCTAAGGGACATCAGCCTCAGTAAGCAACGAAGTGGACGACTTTCACTTACATACAGTGTCCTGCTTTCTTCCTAATAAATAAGAATGCAACCATTTGACCAACCAAAAGTCAGTTTGAGTTTCAGAAAGTTTGTTTAAGAAAATGTCCTTAGGTACCAGGACAGTACTGGAAAGTTTTGGTGTGAGAGTAGCAACCCCACTATTTTGAAAACACAAGTGCTACTAGAACTTCAAGCTTGAAACCTTATACTTCACAGGAAAGACCATGACATGAAAAAAGCAGTAATTTACTTTCTATAGTTAATGAGGTATCTGAAGTGAACTAATTAGATAATATATATCAGAGAAAAAGTGTGTATCAATTCAAGTTGTCAACCTTTAGAAAAACATAACTAGCAATTTATACATCTTGCATTTTAAATCATTTATTCCTGTTTCTTTCAAACACACTTTCATTAATTAAGATTTCAATATCTTCTTGGCATTTTTAGTTAAACAAGAGAAGAAACAACATTCCTCTCATATTCCTCATCAAATATGATGGAGCAGATTTGTAGTTCAGGTGGATGATTTTCATGTGGTTGTGTCTCTGAGCTGGATAGCTACCTATGAGGCAACATCTTCACCACATACGTAAATTCGTTGAAGTGAGCTGTTTTAGATTTCTCCACAAGTTTAGTTTATCTCTAAGTTAGTTTATCTCTCCTGGTGGGTGACCTTCAACGTCGTGATTGGTTGTGTGTTTTCACACTCTGTAGGCAGCTACTTGTATTGTATTGTATACGAACTGATTGTTTACTTGACTTAAATTTTGACCGTTTGTGGGTGAGATTTTCTCCTTATCGGTTGGTAAGTTTTGTCTATCTCGATGTGTATATTGATTGACGATTTACTGGAATACCAGTCAGGCTTCTTAAAATTCTCAAGCATTCTTGGTGTTTCCTTTGTCTAATATATGAACGTTGGTTGTCGCAGTCGAATTGATGTCCGTTGTTGTGTGCATGTAGTTCATACACACATATATACATACAGACAACCGTGGATATCAAATCGACTGCGACAACCAACGTTCATATATTAGACAAAGGAAACACCAAGAATGCTTGAGAATTTTAAGAAGCCTGACTGATACTCCAGTGAACCGTCAATCAATATACACATCGAGATAGACAAAATGTACCAACCGATAAGAAGGAAATCTCACCCACAAACGGTCAAGATTTAAGTCAAGTAAACAATCAGTTCGTATACAATACAATACAAGTAGCTGCCTACAGAGTGTGAAAACACACAACCAATCACGACGTTGAAGGTCACCCACCAGGAGAGATAAACTAACTTAGAGATAAACTAAACTTGTGGAGAAATCTAAAACAGCTCACTTCAACGAATTTAAGTATGTGGTGTAGATGTTGCCTAGTAGGTGGCAATGAAAACTTGTCAAATGAACTATCCAGCTCCGAGAACACAACTACATGAAAATATTCCTCTTCAGAAGTACCTCTGTTGTTACAATAAAAGTTGTTCCCATGTATGGACTGGCTGATATAAGGCTTGAATTTGGAATATTTTTTTTAAAGGACATTAATTTCTGCGTTTTAATGTCTTCCAACATTTTCGCCAATAATAGAAATTCCTTATATCTTTGAATATACTCGCATTTAAAGTAGATCAAATATATATGGGCATAAAATCTAAGGAATTCTGCCGAAAAATAAATTTAACTTCTTATTTGAATAAGGCATTTAAAAGACAAATTTCGCGAGATGATATCGTCATTTCGTAGTTTTGCAAACAGACATAGAGTTGACAGTATCTTCATTTCACCAGTTTTGTTCCTATCCAGTATAAACGTTCCCTAGTGAAATGTTTGTTTTTAAAGACCCAAAAAATCAAATGCATGAGTGACACACTGATGGGTGAGTTTCGACATATACATTCAGTTTTATTAGCGAATGGTAATCCAGAAACCTTACTTCATGAATTGTCACACTAAAGGAAGACCACATCTCGAAAAGACAGATTCTGTACCAAAGAAAGCCATATTTATTAACCTACTATCCAATGGGGACCAGATTATGCAGTTGACAGCTGAAAGACTTCGATCAGCCATTAAACGCACATTCTGAACCGCATCTCTTTCTTCACATACAGAATATTTTCGATCCCTGTTCTGATGGTTAAAGGACGAAATTCTGCGGACTCTTCTTCAAACTGTATCTACAAGTTCACCTGCAGTTGTGGTGACGCCTATATAGGTAGAACCAATAGGATCTTCCAATGTCACGGTCGAAAAGAACATTTTCCAAAATGGTTATTAAAACACATAGGAAATCCCAATGCATTTAGCCTGAATAGGAAACTAACATCATCCATTGCAAATCACTGACTAATGTCAGATCACGAAATCAATATTAATGACTGTTTCACAATTATCACATCACATAACTCTAATTCAAGGTAGGTTATTGAAGATAATGAAGCACTCTGGGGATTAATCGCATACATCCTAAACTGTGTGTACAACAAAAACAATAGATTTCAATCTTCGCCTACCATGAACTGACTACTTGACCTATTTAAATATGATTGGTCATTAGTATGTACTTTTGTTTTATATAACTGAGCGATTGTCACGCATTTTATTTTATTATTGTGAACCATGTTAGTTGTAAAGTGGTTGTAAAGAAACCAGGAAATGACGTTATCATCTGGCGAAATTTGTCTTCTAAATGCCTTATTCAAATTTATCAAAACAGCACTAATTGTTTTAATTAACTTCTTACATAAATGAAAGCCGATTTCATCTCTATGGTGACCTGTTTTCGTTGTGTTTTTTTTTTCAAAATCTCACCTTCTTAGGATGGATTATTATCCGAAGAAGAAATTATCATGAAACGTGACATTTTCGTCAGTAGCCAGGCTACAAATTATGGAAATGCACTTCAACATCATGAAGAACTTTAAATCTAGCGCAAACACGTTAACAGACTTTCAAAAGTCATAACGCTTGAAGCTTTTATTAAGTGAAGTATTTTCATTTATTTTGAAATTTTCGGTTTTGTCTGTGTGTGCGTGCGTGCGTGTTTCTCTCTTTGGAATGTCTAGAGTATTTCATTTTTGTAAGGTGGAAAGAGGCATGCAAGCAAGGCATGATGTATCTGGTAAAGTGAAAAAAAAAATTTAACTTATTCACTGGTTATTTGGTGTTCTTGTTTTTGATTTTTGTCTTTTCTGAATGAAATTGTCTTTCTTTAAAAATTGCCTTTCTACTAAGTAATTTGCATATCAATGCATTCTTGTCACTTTATGCTTCAAGAGTTATGCTGGTTCGTTAATATAAAAAAGAGGTTGAAAAGCAAACTGGGCATTCTTCAGGGTTTACAGTCTCGTTTTAGTGTTAACACAGTATCTAAGTACTCCTCAGGATAATAATTCCGTTATCAAAATAAGACTTAAACTGAATTTTAAATTTTCCCGTCGATTGATTGAACCGAATTGCTCCTCGGTCTCAGGTTGACATATCTGTCGGCTTCTTGTGCAGATGCTTCGATAATGTCTGGGCATGTGATTAAAAGTTAATTGGTGGATGATGACTAACAGTGAGGCATCTAGGATACACATTTTGTCCCGTTTTAGGACTCATCAACTGGATGTACCTGCAATCCCCAGTGAGTGATGATATTCCCACCGAGGCTAGACCACTCGTGGTCCAAGTGGTCTAGTGTATAATGCTTTGGTGTTTGAAACTATGGGCACTGCGTTCGAGCCTCGGTGGGAACACTGTCACTCACTACGGAATGAAGGTACATCCGACTGACGAGTCCCAAATAGGATGAAATCTGTCTGTCTGGATTCAACATAGAACTTGGCACCGAAGTGCACCAGTTCGAGTTGCCACGTTCCAAATAGCCCACAGAAGTAGACAAAAAGATGAGTGAAGAGAATCAATACAGTCTGACAAGGATAGGAGTGAAACAGAATGGGTAATGGTAGAAAGGAATATGAAAGATTACAGAGACTGAATACATCTGCACTGGCCATTGACAACGATTTTGAGCCATGTCACCTATTGTCTCCAGCCATTGATTCCTAGAGTCCCGAGGGCCCCAACCCGGAAGTCTGCATCTCCCTACCTTACTCAGTTTAACTGTCAAGGATTTCATGGATTGATGAGGCCATGTTTTTGTTTGGCCACCACTGACTCTTTTCCAACCTGAACCTATATCAGCTAACAATGCCCGTCGGGGGAGGCGGTGGTTAGGCATGCGCAGCACGTGACCTAGCCATCTTAGTCTATGTAACTTTATAGCCTCGTCGATTGATTTTCCCTCTTTGCCCTACACTCTACGCCTAACATCAACATTACTTATCTTGTGAAACCACCTAACGTGAGACAGAGATCGCAGACATCTATGATCGAAAGCAGTCAACCTTTTCATGTCTTCAACGCGTATTGGCCATGTTTCAGAGCCATAGAGAAGGACGGAGCGAACTGCTGAGCAGTACACACGTCCCTTGGTTGATAACCGGATGTCACGCCTACGCCAGAGATGGTGTAAGTCAGCGAAAGCAGCTCGAGCTTTTCGGATCCGTGCTGAGATTTCATCGCCAATCAATCCGTTGGTGCTAATACAACTTCCCAAATAGGTGAAGTGGTCAACATGTTCTATCACTTCCCTCCCTATCACTAAGTTAGGGGTTGACGTGGTCCAGTCCTGTAGCAGCATCTTACATTTTGAAGGGGCGAATCGCATGCCAAACATACGGAGATTGCTGCTAAAGGTGTTCAGAAGACTCTGCATTTAGGATGAAATGCCGGTGCTTGACTCCACACTACTAGTCATCATCCAACAATCGAATTTCAAAGTAACAATTATTTTTTAATTTGTGGATGGTGACTAGCAGTGGAATCCAGGATGCCCCTTTCGTCCTATTTGGGACTCGTCAGCTGGATGTACCTGCGTTTCTCAGTGAGTGATTATGTTCCAACCGAGGCTCGAACCCAGTACCCAGGTGCATCCAGCTGACAAGTCCCAAATAGGACGAAGGACGCATCCTGGATTCCACTGTTAGTCACCATCCACCAATTAAATACTGACTAAATGCGCAGATATCGTCGAAGCATCTGCACAAGAAGCCGATTGACATGTCAACCTGAGACCGAGGAGCATTTTGGTCCGATCAATCGACGGGAAAATCTAAAATTCAATTAAAATAACAATTTTTTTGCAAAAGTAGTTAAGTAGATCATATATTTTTGTGTGTACATCGGGTAGGTTTCTTGGAATGTGTTCAAAGAAGGAAGTAATAAGTACATGTAATTCGATAAATCCATCTTTGAGATCTTAGAGAGAGAATCCATTCACCTACTTTCAATTGAACTAATGGACAAATTACCTCATGCAACAACAGGATTAATTAAGTAAAACACATTTATAACTTTTTGATATCTTGTGAAATACTGTCATCGAAATTCAATATTATCAATAGTTAAATATGCAAGGGTTCAATCTAAACGATACCGTATAGCAGCCTTTAAGAGCTATAGTTGCAAAATATTATAATACACTCGTATGAGACAATAAAAAAAAACAACCGGAAAAAGTGAAACATAGTTCTGAGTGAGCATCCTCAAATTGGAAGAATTAACGCCTACACTGAAAATGAATTCTTACTAGTATTATTATTATTATTATTTCCTTTGATTCCTAGAAGGACATAGGACTTCAGCCACACGTCTCCATTGGGTTCGGTTCTGTGCCAACTTATTCACCCGCTCCAAGTCTGTCCACACGCTTTTATCTCATCTTTAGATGACCTCCTCCGAGCACCCTCGCAATGACGACCAACTCGCCGATTCTCTTTCGGGTTTCACTCGAGCGATGGCTTGTCTAATGATGTCACTTGATGTTTTGTTTCCTGAAAATATGGCCAACCGATACACCTCCTGCAGATTTGTTGCACAAGTGGTTCCTGCTGGATTGGTTAGTTCATTGCCAGAGATCCCTGTCGCTGATCTTTTCTGGCCTTCTAATCTTGAGTATTGAGCGAAGACAACTGTTAATGAAGGTCTGTAGCTTGTTGGAGATGCTCTTTATGAAGTGCCAAGTCTCTTATCCTTACTAGTGATCTAACCATTTTTCGTTTTAGTCTAATGAGATTTTCAAGTATTGGTTTTGTAGAGATTTTTGTTTAATTGCATGGAGGATTTCATCATGAGCTGATATCAGTTAGATAAACACTGGAAAACTTTCATGGAGTACTGGACAGCTGTTTCGTCAGCCTTGTTTGGGGCTCTTCAGCAGTATGCACCTTTCGCCAAGGTACAAACCCATGACCTTCCGGCTACAAGGCGAGCTCGTAGACCATTGAGCCACTAGGACGCGATCCAATGGTCCTTGAACTCTAACTTCTGCCTATTCACAACATAGCGCGACCATTTCGCAATGAGACATATCTGTTACAATGAGGACGACAAAATAGCCCTATAAACGATATGGTAAAAACTCAACGTTAAAATTCTGAAGTAGATTTTAAGGTAGTGTGAGTTGCAATAAGCATGCGAATTTATTGATTTGATACAAATATCGTTGAAATAATTTCCTGATGTTATCAGCAACTCCTGAAAGCGCAAATAAAGTTGTCCATCAGTTATTTGTTTAGACTGTTACTTAAGCACAACAGTGAAATCAAAAATGCGGGATAAACATATAGAAAAAATCCCCATTTAGATATTTTGAAAACAGAAAGATTGAGCGAAGAAATCTTTACTTTTTTCAATTAGATCCTCATCTCACTCTGGCTCTACTCTAATATACACGTATAGTATTTTAATTACATTACACAACACTTTACCAATCATCAAGTGGCACTGATATGTTTGTTAACAAGAATTAGTCAGTGTCAACATGTCAAGGTGCTGGTGATTATTAACGAAGAAAATTAATATACACAATTAAAAAGGTAGAAATGGTTACAACATGTGGATTGCATAATGCATAAATTTGAAAAGGTGAAGAGTAATTAAGAAATAAGCCTGTGCACAGGTAGATTACGTAACAGATTGTTAGGGAAAATAAAACGATTCGTACAATGCTAACTTGTAACTAAGTCTGAAGTGGTCAGAAAAAATAATAAAATAATTTAGACAATTATAGTTTTCCTGGCAAAGCTTGAAACTGGTCCACTCAAAGACACGATTAAAGGGCTTGACTATTATTGTCGATACGTAGGTGACACCTTTATCGTTTATGATAGAAATCTTAATAAACAAGAGCTTCTGAATGCTGTTAATAGTGTTTACCCAACTATTCAGTTTACATGTGAAGAAGAAGACAATGACAGTTTACCTCTCGTAGACGTCCTTCTTACCATGAAGACAGACGGGTATCTACAAAGGAAATTATTTAGAAAGAAAACTTGGACGGGTCAGTACACCCATTTCCATAGTTTCACACCGATTCAGCATAAAAGAAACTTAGTTAAGTGTCTTAGCTACAGAATAAAACGAATATGCTCAGAGGAATGCATTAAGGAAGAAATGCATAAACTAAAACTCACACTGCAAGAAAATGGATATCCACAGAGCTTCCTAAAAAAGTATATGTCAATACCTATAGACAGGGTAAAGGTGGATACCGTAGACAAGAAACCTTTGTATCTTAAGTTAAGTTACAAAGGGGAAATTGCAGCTGACATTCTAAAGTGTCGACTCAATAGAGCAATAGATAGAACATTTCCCGCAGCTAAATTGGTACTAAACTTCTCAACTAAACCAGTACTCACACAGCAAGTCAAGGATAAATTACCAAAGATGGCCTCATCAATGTGCATCTACGAATTCAACTGCTCATGTGGAGCTAGTTATATTGGCCGTACTCAAAGGGCTTTATCCATGCGCGCACGTGAACATGTACCTGTATGGTTGAGTAAAGGAGTAACCAAAGGCATAAATAGTGCAGTCTTAGCCCACTTGGTAGATACTGGACACCCGATAAAACTTGACCAAGCGTTCTCAGTTATTTACCGCGTTCCTAGTAATTTATCTAGAGGAGCTCGACTACGTCTTCTATCAGTAGCTGAAGCAGTTGCAATTAATACCAGAAGACCATCCCTCTGCATACAAGAAGTATGTTCAACCTCTATGTTTACCTTGGCCTACAATAAAGCCAACAAATCCTCCATTAACACTATAAATTCCTTTCACAATTTTCTTTTCTTTTCCTTCTTCTATTCCTCTGTTTCATTGACAAACGTTCATTTTCGACTTTTATGATTTCATGACCTTTCTTATGATTCTATTACCTTAGGTTTAAATAGTGCTTTTCTAACTTACTATCGTATTTACAAAATCCTGTTCATTCCACTTCATTATTATTATTTTACAATCATTCTTATTGTTGTTATTTTCAACCTTGAACTTAGTCAGCCCCCTTGTTTTTTACATTTATATATACATCATTAAATTAAATTACTTCATCACATTTTGCCTTATGTTCTCACTGGCCATGCGTATTAAAAAAACTATATGACTATTGTTTCATCCCATCTTATACTCGTTCCACAATACACTTCCTGAAATGATTCTAATTCGTCTTTACTGGCTATTGTATGCTTAAATTAATGGATTTATGATTGTAGAGCCTGAAGAACAATTTATTGAAACCACAATTGTTCGCTCTAAATATTTTGTTCCGAATAAATTATAATTTTTAAAGGTTAAGAGGGAGGGAGACGAAATAGCCCGGTTTATACATTCACGTAACGATGGCTATGTTAAGGAAAGTGGTTGTACGAATTTCTTCTGAACACAAACGTTTGGCGTCTTCAGGTTGATTTCTGTTGCTTCAGCTGTCGTATGTAGAAGACGAACTTGTAAAGCGAAATTGAAGTTAGTAGGAATGCGATAAATAACTTTGAATGTTGTATTAACGTCAACCTTATGCTCACTATCTACAAGGTGTGCTAACATAGAACTAGCTACGAATAGATCTTGTTTATCCCTTGCTTAACCATGTTGGATGATGTTCGGAAATATGATGAAAAACCTGCGTAATTGTACGCTCAATGTATCTGGCTCCGCAGCTGCACTCAAACTGGTAGATACGCATAGGGTAGGCAAATTTAGGTTGTTTATCCTTATTTTCTCGAACGTAAAATAAGGGTGGTTTTGAAGAGACAACGTACGTCCGCTGGACTGAAAACTCTTTCAACTGCATTCTTCAGGCACTGTGTTATTATTTCGCTGATGTTGTCACTGAGGAACTGTAATTTTATGAACATTGGTTTTTTCGGAACTATTGCCATACTGACTCTTCTTGGAGTTACACTCGTGTTTTTCTCAATGGACCTATCCGGATAGCCAATTTTACTAAGTAATTCTCTAATAATCTTAACCTCCTCATTGACGGAGACGTTTGAGCAGATTATCCTAGCTCCATGCACCAGATACTTTACTAAGTTACTTTTATATTTCAAAAGGTACAAAAAAATGAGTTTACTGACCTGTTGCTGTAGGTTTCCTATACACACTCCTTATTAGTGTGCCATCTTCTTTCCTTGCCATCAAGACGTCTAGGAATGAGATACTGTCATTACTTTCTTTCTCTATGGTAAAGTTTATCGCTGAATGTGCATCATTAAACTTGTCAAGGATGTTCACTGCATCGTTCTCATTTTTCTTAACCAGAAATGTATCGTCCATATATCGACAATAGAAATCCAAGTCATTAATTACTCCTTTCAGTGGTCCAATGTTTAACTTAGTGAGGAAAACATCAGCTGGGATTGGACCTAATGGGTGTTTAATATTCCTTTTTGAATAAGAAATGAACATTCATTGTACATCTTAAAATAAGTTCATTCAAGGTGGATACTGAAATTCCGATGTCTATGTTTCGCATAGTAATCTCCTCACATATAAAATCCACTACCTCCATTAACGGTACATTGGTGAACAAGTAGAATACATCAAAAGATATTATAATCTTGACACTCACATTAAATTGCTGTATATTGTAATAAAAATGCTTTATATATTAGAGTAAATTCAGAGGTGATGATCTAATTAAAAATTAAATATTTCTTCAAGTGTTGATTTGTAGGTATTTGATTGGTTACAGGATTTCATCATGACCTGACATTGGTCAGAGAACCATTGGAAAACTTGGGAGGTCCTGAGTTCGAACCCCGGTGGGTGCGTGCTGATGAAGAGTCCCCTACTATCTCTATTAACCTACCATTCAAGGGTGACCAGATTATACAGTTGATAGCTCAAAGATTTTGGTCAGCTATCAAACACATTCTACGCCACACCTCTTTCCCTCACATCGTGAACATTTGCGATTAAAGCACCAAAATTCGGTGAACTCTGCTTCAAACTGTGTTTACAAGTTCACCTGCGGTTGCGGTGACACTTATATACGCGGAACTAATAGAATGTTTCAATGTCGTCGAAAGGAACATGTTCCAAAATGGTTCTTAAGATACATAGAAAATTCCAATGCAATTAACCTGAATAGAAATCCATCAGCATCATCCACTGCAAAGTACTGATTAGTGTCAGATCACAAAATCAATATTAATTAATGACTGTTTCACAATTATCACGTCACATAACTCTAATTCAAGGCTGGTTATTGAAGGTGACGGAAGCACTTTTAGGATTAATCACATACGTCCGAAACTGTGTGTATGAAAACAACACAATAGACTTAAACCTTCGCCTACCATGGACTACTTGACCTATTAAAATATGATTGGTCATTAGTATATACTTTTGTTTTGTTATATTTAACTGAGTAATTGTGATGCCCTTTATCTTATTTTATCGTTGTTAACCATGTTAGTTGTAAAGCAATTGTAAAGAAACTACGAAATGATGCCATCACCTCTTGAAATTTGTCTTCTTAGTGTCTAATTCAAATAAACAAATTTTAAGTATTGGTTTTGTGGGGATTCTGTTTGATTGTACGGAAGCAGTTAACCTGGGGTTGTAGTGAGAAGCCGCGACCGGTAGGGTAGAGCAGGCTGAAGATGAGGCAGTAACTCACTCATCGAAGAAGACATTGCGAAATGCTCGCGCTATGCCGTAAATTGGCAGAAGTTAGAATTCAAGAACTATTGGATCGCGTCCCAGTGGCTCAATGGTCTACGAGCTTGATGGCCTTGTAACCAAATGCTCCCGGGTTCGAACCCCGCTGGATGCATACTGCTGAAGAGTCCCAAACAAGGCTGATGTACTCATCTCCGAACGAGTTAGTAAACTGGCATATGCACGTTGAATTGGCCCACTATGACAGCTTGTCTTTCGCGTCCTGGCTGAACAGTTTCGTGCAGGAAAACGTTAGTCGTAGGCTTTCGGCGAAGCATGTCTTCCTCAGAGATTTACCCACGTGTTTACAAAGCATTTCTGCTTCAATGTCATCTTTGAATTCTAGATTGACCAGAAGTATCTTCTTCGGCAAGGATTTAACCCGTTCAGAAGTCTTTTCCGATTTGAGGTTCTTATCTATGAACCTAGGCGAAAAACCATTTTCCAGTAAGGTTCTTCTGAGATTACTCAGTTCTTTGTCAATCACCTCCTGGCTGCATATCTTCCGAATCCCCGAGGGCAGAGCGCATATCAGGTTCCTCTTCTTGCTCAGGGGTACGAAGCTTTGAAAGTTGATGAATTTTCCATTCCATGTGGGCTTTTTGTATATGGACCTTTTCAGAGATTTGTTGGTGTTTCTCGTCAGATGGACGTCGAGGAAGTGGAACACTCTGTCGGATTGAGCTTCAAGAGTAATGCTGATGTTTCAGTGGGAGTTGTTGAAGGTTTCAAGTAAGTTTTCAAGGTCCATGTTCTCATCACAAATGATGAAAGTATCATCAGTGTATCACTCGTAAAGATTGAGATCAGTGATGGTCGAGGATAAGTTGTTTTCGAGACTGGCCATGAAACAGTCGGCCAAAAGGAGTCCCAGTGAACAGCCCACTGCTACACCATCTCTTTGCCTGTAGATTTCATCCGTGAATCTGAAGTAGACGTTGGAGGTACAACGTAGTAACAGTTCCTTTAGATAACATATCGGTATCTCGACATCTATGCTGTTGCATTGGATGAAGTCACACAGAAAACATATAGTTTCTGTCAGTGGAACATTGGCGAGTAGAGAGAGATGACGTCTAGGGAGAACACTTTTTTTCTATGACGTTGACGTTATTTCTACATTTCTAACGCCTAATTGCAAAATACGTCAATCGTCGCAATAATTATGATGCTAATTTGTTTGAGTTTTATCCGTATCTCCCCCTGTTTATTATGACATTTTAATTCCTAATTCTAATTTAACTAATTTGACCCTAGACCGGAAATCATTCTGGAACTTTCCCACCCATTTATTATAAATACACGAATGTATAGTCTAGATGATGCTGACTTCGTCGGAAAGAAGATTTTCTTCGCTGCAACTGTCATTTCATTATTCCCTATGATCCGAAAATTTCAACAAAAGCATCAGCGGTGAATAGTATTTTATTGATTTTCTATTAAAAGTACGTTAATGAATATATTACACATATACTGATAAAGACGACATTTGTATACTGACAAAGAAAAGCAGCTCATAAAGAAGTACAAAAATACACTAAGAAATAAAAAGAACAAACGTATCATCAATTCCTACTCGCATAAAGAATATTTTGGGAATGCTAAGAGAATTGTTCTGTCTGAAGTTGAAGTTTTTCCAGTCATGACTTTCTCTGTTCACTTGACACCTTTTCAAGGGTTGTTAGAAGGACGTAGGTATTTTTGACGACTCACTTCGCTACACAATTTATCCTGAAGACTTCATCATTGGAAAGTTTGACAGCGACTTTAAAGTGTGTGTATGTGTAAATATTGAACTTTTTACAGTTGGATAAAAATGTTTCATATATATATCACAGATAACAGTACATTTATCTAAAATATTATATGCGTATAATATTCGAAATTGTTTTTTGTTGTTGTGTGGTTAATATGTTTCTTTAATAAATTCACAAAGGTTTAATAACTTCAACAAATGTTGCTGGAAACATTCCACGATGACCACTACTTGCTGATTCTCCTCTATACCAATTTTCATCAATTGCCTCGAACAGGTATACAATATCCCCAGGCTACAATTAGAAAAATACATAATAATAATAATAATAGTGAGTTCATGTACTTACCGTCAGTTTATATATAGGGAGAAATAAAAGTGATACTATTGATAATCGAACTTTCAGGAGACTCCTTAGTGACTCAGGCCTTTGATAATGCAAGAATTTTAATATACTATCCTGGCAACTACTTCGCTATAACCAAGGGGTGCTGCCGACAATTATACATCTCATCCAACGACAATTCTACATGCCAAGTAATCCACAACGGAATCTCACAGAATCCTTTGAAGAAGCGAAGACGGGAGTAAGACAAGCTGGCTGCCTACTATCTCCAATGATTTTCTTGATTGCGGTAGATTAGATAATGCGACAGACAGAGAGCGGGCAGTGAGGAAACAGGCATAAAATGAACCTACACAAAAACCTTAGAGGATCTGGACTTCATTGATGCGGCATATGTTTGATTTTCCACAAACTGGAAAATATGCAAGTGAAAAGCAACAAGTTGACAGAAGAAGCATCAAAGATAAAATTTCACTTCAAGTGAACATAGAGAAAACAGAAGTGATGGAGATTATTGGTCAACAGCAACAACAACAGATAACAGTCACCATAAACTGAAGAAATCTGAAATCACCTAACTACCTACCTACCTGGGAAGCATCGTTTCAACTACAGGCCAGCGGAACTGGTGAGGATATCAAAGCCAGAATCGGAAAAGCAAGACAAGCTTTCATTACTCTCAAGTCTGTGTGGAGGTCAACAGCACTCAGCATCAAAAATAAGATCCGGATTTTCAACTCCAACGTGAAGTCAGTGCTACTTACTATACAGATCAGAGACTTGGCGCGTCATAAAGAGCATCTCAAACAAACTTCAGACCTTCATTAACAGTTGTCTTCGCTCAATACTCAAGATCAGATAGCCGGCCAGAAACGATCAGCAACAGAGAGGGATCTCCGGGAATGAGAGAACCAACCCAGCAGGAACTGATTTTGCAACAAATAAGCAGGAAGAAACGGAGGGGGATCGGCTGGCCATACTCTGAGGAGACCATCAAGTGATATCACTAGACAAGCCATTGCTCGAGTGGAACCCGACTGAATGGGAAGCGGCGAGCTGGTCTTCATTGCAAGGGTGACATGGAGGAGGAGGTCATGTGGAGAGGAGATGAAAGTATGTGGGCAGACTTGGGGCCAGGTGAAAACGTTAACAGAGAACTGAACGCAATGGAGACGTGCAGCTGAAGCCCTCTAGGAATTAAAGGAAACAATAATAATACAATAATGATAATCGTGCTACAAGAAAAGCATAGTCATAATACCTTTAACTGAGTAGAATATTTTCGACAAAGATTGGCCCTATTCAGGCAGTTAACCTGGGGCTATAATGGGAAGCCTTGACCAGTAGACTACAACAGGTGGTTGAAGATGAGGCAGTAACTCACTCGTCGAAGAAGGTACTGCGAATTGGTCACACAATGTCACGAGTTAGGAGAAGTTATAATTCATGGTCTGGCCAGTGGATTGTCTCCCGGTGGCTTAATGGTCAATGAGCTCGCTGGCTTTGTAACCAAAAGATCCTGGGTTCGAACCTCGCCAGGTGGATGCCTACTTCTGAAGAGTTCCAAACTAGTCTGATGGAGCAGCTGTCCAGTACTCCCAGTTAGTTTTCCAATGGCTCTCTAACTGATGTCAGCTCATGGTGAAGTCCTCCAACCAATCAAACACAACCTCTAGAAAACTGATACTTGAGAAGACAGAAAGGCCAGATTTGCAGTATAAAATGATATCATTCTCTTTCACGAACTCTCATAAACTGCTAACTAATTCAAATTACAAGGGTCATAAATAATGACAATAACATACGTCAATGTTTGATAAACATTAAAGAAAACATGATAAAACCAATGCATCCAAAATATAAGTAATACAATTTCGGTTTAAGCTACCGTCAATTTATATGCTTTCACAATAGAAAAGGAGGGCGGAGAAGATAGCAAAAGTGTTAGAGAACATTACCCAGCGTGGCTGCAAAGAGGAGGCACTTGTTTAATCAGAAGTGCCATTATTGAACATCTGGTCAACACCTCCCACAAAATCTCAATCGATTCTTTCAAAGTGACCTACATAATCAACAGAAACCTACCCACCAAAAGCAGTATGTTTCCGACTTCTCTGTGCTGCAGAAGCCCTCGCAATATGCATCGAGAAGCCGAAGTTGTGTGTTCAAAAGAAATTAGTCCAACCTCTACAACCACCATGGACCTAGTTCGGTATGTCCCCTTTGCTTCAGTTTTTTTTCTTCTTTCGTTATCTTTTTTTCTTTTTGATTTTTTTTCGTCCGCTGTGCGTGTGTGCGATTCTCACTCCCTCAGTCTTCATTCGATTCGTCCTAATTTTTTCAGTTATAAAAACAGTTAAATGAACTGTAGTCAAGATTTGACAGAATAGTTCTAAAATATTTGGGCGCCGAGTGAGAAGAAGACATTTGTAAAAAATTATATTTGTAAAATCTCAGCGATATTGAAATGAGTAATTCCAACGTTTCGTTCGGCAATCTGGTCCGAACTTCTTCAGGGAAATTAATCGAAATTAACATAACAGAGGTTTATATATAAAAGGAACATCTCTTATTTTTAAAAACTTTGTCCAATCATGAGTCATAAAACAGGCATCAACATGTACAATAAACAAAATTGTATGAGTTGTGATCAAAATTTGACCTCAGAGTTACAAATATTGATCTACCTTTGTTAAACACTTTAAACACAGTGTGTATGTGTGCGAATAAACAGTTGTAAAACAATATCTTAACGTCCCCATAAGTAGATATAGACAGTCAGGAACTTTGATCAAGTATTATTAGTTAGTGATACATATCCATTCTTATTTATTAATCAGGATTTCCTATGCGTCAGCTAACATCACATCACACCTTCATGTCTGTTCAAACTGTTAGTATCTAGAATCTTATGATTAGACGTATTTTCAAAATTATGGTGTTTAGGATTAGAGTTTAGTTGAAGCACCCTGTCAAACTCATGACTTTGTCTTCTTTCTGAAAATTGAGCTGATTTATTCGACCTACTGGACTTGTCAGTTGACTGGACAGCTACGGATTTAGGGTACGCATTCTGTTGCAGACACCGGAGAGTGGAAACACGATGATTGTGCCAATTACGTAGTTTCAATGTTGATGCCTGTTTTATGACTCATGATTGGACAAAGTTTTTAAAAATAAGAGATGTTCCTTTTATATATAAACCTCTGTTATGTTAATTTCGATTAATTTCCCTGAAGAAGTTCGGACCAGATTGCCGAACGAAACGTTGGAATTACTCATTTCAATATCGCTGAGATTTTACAAATATAATTTTTTTACAAATGTCTATCAAAACAGTTATTTCAATTTTGTTTCCATGCTCATTTTTACACACTTATTATCCGTTCTAATCCTGTGAAATTTTGTTTCCAAGCCTTCCCTCGTAAACTATATCTAGTTGAAAATAATTGTCACCTTTTATTTATCGTCGTAATTATGTGGAATCAAACAAGAATTTTATCCATGTAAAATTACGTATTTAAATGCGATTGTACAGCTACTTTTGAAAATGAAATCACCGAAAAGATATCTATGTTCCTAAACTTCGTGTTCTCTTCTTTCAAAAATCTAATAAACAGTGTTAGCATGTCACCTTCATCTACGTTCATAAATTTACGTGTACTTGCGGTAGTAAGTACATTAAAAAGGACAGAAAGAGAGGCTTCTATCCAGTTTTCAAAGAAAATCCCAAGAAATTTTTATCCAAAAAGAAAGCAGATATTTACAAAGTGCAATTATCAGACACCTTTGTGGATATGGGTCATTTCGTCGAGATTTCTAAATCTTTCAAATGATTAGGCGTACAAAGAACAGCAAACTCATCAAGATTTTCCAAAGTAATTGCAATCCAACATTTCAAATCAAACTTGCGCATGCAAAACGAGAGTGTAATCAATCTCTTACTCTCTTAGCAACCGTATTTTACTTGGATTACACTGATTAGTCATACACACTAGTGAGCTCAGCTCAATAAGCAAGTTTTCAATTTACTGAACTTTAACCTTCTTGAGTTGCCATTTTGGTATACAGGCTAATATTGTTTAATAGATTTTTCTGTTTTCTATCTTCTCTCATCTCCTTTCCTTTTTTTTCATAGTTTGATAGTATATGAATTGATGGTAACTTAAACTATAAATTGTGATTAGTATACAATTGGTGGATGGTGGCTAGCAGTGGAATCCAGGATGCGCATTTCGTCCTATTTGGGACTCGTCATCTGGATGTACCTGCATTTCTCAGTGAGTGATGATGTTCCCACCGAGGCTCGAACCCAGTACCCATAGTTTCGAACGCCAAAGCGTTATCCACTAGACCACTTGGGCACTTCGGTCCAATCAATCGACGGGAAAATCAAAAAAAAATTCAATTCAATAATTATAAATTGTAATATTTATATTCCGGATGCCGAGGTAGTACATCTCCCCCGGCTATAATCAAAACAAAGTCTACCAAGGAAGGAAGGTTTAATGGGATGACGAATTGTTGCTTTGAACGCATAAAGGTGGTTTAAACTTCCTAATTGCCAGTTAGGCTTCCACAAATACTTTAGGATACGCCCTACTCCAAACACGTTTCATAGATAGATAGGTTTAAAAGATCTGGTAACGTCAATTCTATGTCCAGTCTCTATAATATGTTTCACAATGGAAGAGCTACGTCTCCTGTTCTCACTATCAATGGACTCTGAAGATTCTATTTGTTTCTGGAGCCATCTAGGAATATGCTCCGAAGCCAGCCAGCACTTACTTGAAGAGATCGATGACTCCTCCCTATGTGAGTATGTGTCCACACGTACATTCAAATTGGTAAATACAGTGGGATGTGACATCTTTTTTGTGCATGTTCGAAGGGCCTAGATGGATGGATATATTGGCTTCACATTCTCAATTATTATGATATTAACTGCATAAAATGTCTTTTTTTAACAGCATAGTTCAGTCTTTGTCTAGTTATGAAGCTGCTGTGATGCCCCATATAGGGTAGTCTGATGTACACGTCTTTATTAGGGGCGAGTTGGAGAGTGGGTCTTGATGTTCTGATTACTTTATATCTCCCGATGGATTTGCCTGGATAATTGTTATCAACCAGAGTTTGTGTCAACATTCTTTCTTCTTCATCAAGTGTGTCTGTCTTCAGTGCATATTCATTGGATTCTGCTGAAGAGGCACCTTACTAAGGCTCTTTTGTACCGAACAGGGCAGAAACTGTGGTAATTAAGGTACTGTCCTGTCCTGTCCAGGTAGGTTTTCTAACAATAGACCTTTTTATTGACCCATCAAGCTGTCTACTAAGCAATATGTCTAGGAAAGATAAACAATTGTCTTGCTCTTAATAAAACATTTTTTAACGCACTTTGATCTACTCATAAGTAGCTTAACTTTGTTTGGGTAAATATGATATATCCAAAATAAAAAATGCTGTCCGATATTAATAAATAATAAAAATTTTTCCTTTTCCCCGGAAGGGTTTTAATTTTTTTTTTGGGGTCCCACTTTTTCAATGTGATGGCCCTATTATTTCGTAGTTTTTTTTCTATAATCGTGTTACAGCTACAGTAGACGGCAACAGCAAATGTAATTGCAGGAATACATAAACCTGTCCATGAGAAACACTACTCGAAAATAAACTTCTCCTTTTCCCCCCAATAGACTACTGACTTCTCTTGCTGGATAGTACAAATTAATTACTAAACTCTAGTTACCTCGATTCATTCTCTGCTTACATGTGACCGAACTATATGTAACTGTCAGGCCATCATCACATTTCATTCCCGGCTACGTCTCCATCTGTTAGCGCTGTATAAAAGGGGAGTATTAGGTTGTTAACCAATAGTAAGACTGTCTGAAGTAACCTGATGATGCGGTTAACTATTGGACCTCAAAGCTCAGGTTTTGGACGTAAAGACCAGTGATACAGAAGCCGCAGATTAGACTCAGATATTTATTTCACCCTTAGTCACCACCTATTACGTCAATAATAGTCTGTCGACTGAAGATTGCCTCAGAGAGTCTTACGAAACAATTCTTTTTGTTGATTAGTTGGGGGATTTCATCGTGAGCTGACATCAGTTAGAGAAACACTGGAAAGACTACTGCGAGTACTGGACAGCTGTTTCGTCCGACATTGCGAAATGGTCTCACTGAAGAAAAGTCCCAAGCTAGAACAAAATGGCCGTCCAGTTCTTCCAGGTTTTCTAGTGGTTCTGTAACCGATGTCAGCTCATGGTGAAATTTGTAACCAATCAATCAAATCCCTACAAACTAATATTTGATTATCACTCAGACGCTCACTAGCGACTGGCCTTATTCAGGTGGGTAAATACCTGGGGTTTTAGTGAGAAGTTGTGACCAGTAGGATACAGCAGGTTTAAGATGAGGTCAAATAAGACGTCGTGAAATGGTTGCGCTATGTCGTGAATCGGCAGAAGCTAGAATTCATGGACTGAGTGGCAGTTCGATCGGGTCCCAGTAATGGCTTAATGGCCTACGAGCTGGCTAGCCTTGTAACCAGAAAGTCGTGGGTTCGAACCTCGCCAAATGAGTGCTTAATGTCAATGAGTTCCAAACTAGTCTGACGAAACAGCTGTCCAGTACTCCCAGTGGTTTTTCCAGTGTTTCTCTAGCTGATGTCAGCTCATGACGAAATCCTCTATCCATTCCAAAAAAAATCCCTACAAAACCAAAACTTGGAAATTCTTTTTTTAAGAAATGATTGTATTATTTGCTTATTGAGTGAAAATTATCCACTTTTGTGATCATTTAACCTATTTCCCTACTGCCACCAAAGTGAGGCTTTTCAGGTATACAGCCGGTCGGGTGTGGGGACAAATACTCGCCGAAGACATTGGCTAGCGGTCGCGCTATGTCGTGAATTGGCAGAAGTTAGAATTCAAGGACCATTGGATCGGGTCCCAGTGGCTTAGTGGTATACGAGCTCGCCTTGTAACCGGAAGGTCCTGGGTTCGAATCCCTGGGGGAAGCCAAGAAATCCCCTCGTTTCAGTTCTAATCAAACAACAACCAAACCATCACTTGAAAAAAAATTACACTGAATAAGCCAGTATAATTTTCGCATAACAAAAAGCTTTTAAAATTCAATTGGTTGATGGTGACTAGCAGTGGAATCCAGGATGTGCATTTCGTCCTATTTGGGACTCGTCAGCTAAAGGGATGTACCTGCATTCCCCAGTGAGTCATGATGTTCCCATCGAGGCTCGAACCCAGTGCCCATAGTTTCAAACACCAAAGCGTTATCCACTAGACCACATGGGCCACGAGTGATCTAGTGTTTGAAACTATGGACACTGGGCTCGAGCCTCAGTGGGAACATCATCACTCACTGTGGAATGCAGGTGCATCCCTTAACATCCTGGATTCCACAATCCTAGTAACTATCCACTAATTAACTTCTAATCACATGCCCAGATATCATCGAAGCGTCCGCACAAGAAGCCGACAGACATGTTAACCTGAGAACGAGCATGTCGGTTCAACCAATTGGTGGGAAAATCTAAAATTAAAAACTATCCAAAATTAAAACTATTGAAACTTTTTTTTCAGTTATAATAATAATAATTACCGTTAACGCTAAATCTTCGTCTGTTTCTTTTTGAAATGCATACACAACTCGTGCATGTGGCCTATGCTGCATAATAGCGGCTAATTCATTTGGATTGTCAATTACTTGAACATTCGACGTGTTGACTAAACCGGTGACGCCGAACCAATTTTCACACTCTATCCACTTGTCACTTGATGATAAAGATAGGGATAATGGAATTGTAGAGGGATTGCTGTGCCTTTCACCTGGAACCAGATCAATACACCTCAAAACATCACCAACCTGTAAAAATAGTCAATAAAAATTAAAACGGTGCGTATAATTCAACTTTAGTATTCAATAATATGGAGACTTGTCATAGGAATATACATATGAAATTAATAAAGAGGTAAGAGGTGAGAAAATAGACCACTTAGGTCAAGTTAAAAGGACACATTGAAGGTCAAAATAACAATGAAGACCACTAAAAGAAATAGCAGAGGTAATAGTACATTTCCTATGGTGTGAAAACAAAAAATCTGTATGGGAAACATCATAACAGCTTGACAACTAGACAAAGACATTTTACGCAGCTAACATCATAATAATTGAGAATGTGAAGCCAATATATCCATCCATCTAGGCCCTGCGAACATGCACAAAAAAGATGTCACATCCCACTGTATTTACCAATTTGAATGTACGTGTGGACACATACTCACATAGGGAGGAGTCATCGATCTCTTCAAGTAAGTGCTGGCTGGCTTCGGAGCATATTCCTAGATGGCTCCAGAAACAAATAGAATCTTCAGAGCCCATTAATAGTGAGAACAGGAGACGTAGCTCTTCCATTGTGAAACATATTATAGAGACAGGACATAGAATTGACGTTACCAGATCTTTTAAACCTATCTATCTATGAAACGTGTTTGGGGTAGGGCGTATCCTAAAGTATTTGTGGAAGCCTAACTGGCAATTAGGAAGTTTAAACCACCTTTATGCGTTCAAAGCAACAATTCGTCATCCCATTAAACCTTCCTTCCTTGGTAAATTTTGTTTTTATACTATACCCGATGTACTGCTGTTACCTCTGCTATTGTGGCGAGAGCAGCCTGCTAGTCAATTGGTTGACATTAATCTACGTGAATGTCTAGGTCACTAATATGGGCTGTGAGAATATATGGACAAGGCTGTTTCAACAACCAATCACAGCAAACTTAAACGTGGGCGAATGTGATTCGCAGATAGATGGCTCCATTTTCCGAGGAACTCGAAAACAACCAATCAGAAGACTGCATTTGTCTACTTGACTAGGCTATAATAATGTATGTTAAATTTATATAAATACGTGTTGATTTTGGTAATAAAACGATCTGTTGCCTAGCCCTTGTCTTCTGTTGTTACACTATTTAGTTCAGTGGTCTTCATTGTTATTTTGACTTTCAGTATGTCCTTTTAGCTTGAACTAAGTGGTCTATTTTCTCACCTCCTACCTTTTTATTAATTTCATATATATTCCTATGACAAGTCCGTGTGTAATCGAATTGTTCGAAATGTGTTGCACAAATATGGAAATTATTTTTTGTTTGGTGATTTAATATTAAAATTTTGAAAACATTTGTCTCATAGCTCTTCTATTGGTAATGACAGATGCTGTCAACTTTACCGGCATTTACTGATCCTATTAGACTGAAATTCTCGATTTCTGCTGACCTTTGGATATTATTACACTAGATAAATTACAGTGAGAAGCTCTATCATTGGGTCCTAGATTTTGTGACCAAGGGTATAAGGTCAATCAACCTGATACCGATATCCAGTTTGCAAAACCTCCTCCTACAAACAAAAGATTTGACCTCAACGTCAGATGATGAAGTCGCTAGGCTGCAAACTACACTAGTCGACAGTTGTCAGCAGTACAAAAACAGTATTCTTGTTCTTTCCCTACAATTATATATATATATATGTTTATGTACGTAGAATATTCTAGATTAGTAGTCAGTAAGAATATCAGCGTTTTTTTAAATGATATCGATTTGTAAAGTTAGATCACCATGGAATTACCACAGTTCATTAAAGATGCTTAAATAATAATAACAATAAAGATATAATAGCAAATAGAATATCCCCTAAAATTGAGAAAATTCTACAAAAATTCAGGATCATTCAAACCTAGATGGCTGAGTGGTAAGAACAATGTCTGAACTAACTTCTTTTGGACGCACAAATTAGGCTTGTTACTATGGATCGTAATGGCAAGTCTCAGCGATATTCAGTAGTCGAACTCTTAAGGCAAATTTGAGATTCGTAGGTATGCGGTAAATGACAGCGAAAGCCACCCAGCTGACATCAATCCTGTGTTCCGTTGTATCCACAAGATGAGACAGAATGGCGCTACGAATAGAATTTGTTTATCCTTTACTTAACCATACAGGGTGATGTTCGAAAATCCGACGAGAAACACGCCTAATTGTACGGCCTAATTGTAACTAACTTCACTGAAGCAGCTAAATTGAGATAGATACACATTGAAGAGGCGAAATTGGCAGCTTATATCTTTTGCTCCAAAACGCAAAAGAGAAGTGGTGTTGAAGATACAGTGTAATTCAGCAACAGGGAATGCTTTTTCTACGGCATTTCTAAGGTGTGATGCTTAAAGTTTAACTTGGTCACAGTTTGTGTGACTCAATCGTCACTTGGCAACTTAAATACAAGGTTACAGCATACAATACCTTGAATAACCTGAACTCAAAGTAAACATTAGGTAAAAAAAACAAATCAATAAAATTCACAGATTTAGCTTGGAAAAACACGAAATAAAATATACAGACGGAAGACATAACTTACATTTAAACGAAGTTCACCAGTTGATTCATTTCCCGCTTGTTTGCGCTTAACTGTTAACCAACTGTTTACTGAGATTACCTTGTTACCATTACTCTGTCCACTAGAATTCGTTTCATTATGCAATGACTGTTGATCTTGAGATGTTAATGCAAGTTGATTAGTACTAGCCGACTTCTTTGTTGATGCTGACGATAACTTGATATATCCCTTTGAAGTAACTAATTTCTCTGGTGGTTTAATGACTTGAAATACACTTCGAAGTTGGGAAGTACTACTATCACCGAAATTACTGACATTATCGTAAGACTCATCAGCATTTTTCGCATTACTGACATCATCATCATCATTTCCACCATTGGTACTAGTAAAGGCTTTATCATCATCAGTTCTAAGCGGTGTTGAATCTACTGTAGACTTAATATCCTTCTCGTGGAGCTTTCCACCGTTGAATAAATATGATTCACTTAAATTCTTAACATAACTTGATGCCGTATGTCTGTTTTTATTGTGGTTAGTAGTGCCAGTTGCACAAATGTTATTATTATTACCATTATTGGAGTCCGTAGCATCAGCCAGACATGAAACTTCTGCTGTATGCCTTCTTTCGTTGTCTAACAACCTCTTTGTACTTTTAGCTCTTAGATTAAGGTTGAATTTGTTCTGTGGTGTTTTATCTAAACCATTTGAATCGATGCTGTCACATGATGACTTGTTCAACTCGGGAGAAGTTTACTCAAAACTGTCTGTTAATTAAGATAAAAAAAGAAAGAGGACAAAAAGAGATGAAAAGTAGGAGTTACAATCTACATATGTCGTTGATATGAGTGAATATCGGCATTTGATAAGAACTAATGCATAAGTACATATAATCAAACTGATAATCCTCATTGAAACATTAAAAAACCAAGAAAGAATTCAGTCAAGAAAATTTTCTTTTTGATGATTTCATTTTCACAGCTGTACAATCATATATATATATATATATATATATATATATATGTGCGTTTATCAATTCACCTGCTCGTGTGCAGCTAGGTATATCGGTCGTTCGACTCAGGTTTTGTCCACAAGGGCACAGAACACTATCCTGCATGGCTACGAAAAGGTGGAAGTGGAGCAATAAAAAGCGTGATCATTGAACATCTGGTCGATAATGATCACCCTATCTCTATAGCCTCCGCCTTTAAAGTCATCTACAAGGCAAAAAGTAATTTACTGAAATCACTACGTGCCTGACTCATCTGTATTGCTGAAGCCATCTTTGGCGATCGAAACAGAAAAGCCAGATCTCTGTGTACAGAAAAAAGTCGTTCAACCCTCTAACTTTCATGGTCTTAGTCCTTCTATGCTAAAGTATAGTAATCCCCAATCATAGTTTAGCTCTACCAATTTTTCATTTTGTCTATTCAATTTGTATTCTCTTCCTCAATACGTCAATTGTTACTATTACTACTCTCATTCTGAACTGTACCCGGTATTATTTCACTTGTTCCACTTGTCATTCTGGATCAATTCTTTTTTACGACGATAAATTCTATGCTATTAAATTTCACACAATATTACGTAACGTTTTTGTTTTATTCGATTTGTCTACTTATCCTATAATTGCACATCCTTTTTTAAGTTCTATTCATCCTATGAATTATTCTATATATGACATTAATCTGCTTTGCCACTTGACATTTAACTACGATTTTAGTTTTTAGTTTTAATTGAACTTCACATTACTATTATTATTTTATGCATTCACACCTATGACTCAATTCCCACACCGGATATAACTTCTGATAAACCGTATATATACTATGTACAGCTTGACGATGAATTCATTGTTGAATAGAGTCTCTTCGCTGAATCACTTGTTTTGATTTTCTATATATATATATAAATAATTTGTAGCTTAGGTGGATGATTTGCAATTTGGTAGTATTGTTCTCTGAGCTGGTTGGTTTAGTTCCGGAGATTTCATCGTTCGTCCTTCTGGACAACATCCCCTTTCAGCGCAATATTTAGCATAAAGTGAAATGATTCAAATTTCTTCATGAGTGGTGATATAATCTCGTCTCCCAGTAACCATATTTACATATGTATTGATCATAACATCAACAAGGAACCATCATCAAAGAACACAAGAAAATTCATCCTGCCTTACCTGAAAAATATCTCTGAAATAACAGCTAGAATATTGAAACCGTTTTGATATTAATACAGTACACAAGCCGGTCAAATCACCTAATTCGATATTGTGCAAACCGAAACATCCAACAGAAAAAGGAGATAAAACTAATAACATTTACAAAATAAATTGCATGTCTGAACTATAACAGGCATTACATAGGCCAAAGTTGGTGTCCCCTTTTGAATCAGAATCCAAGAACACAAATCAGCTGTGAATTGACACGATATAAATTCTTTAGTATCAATGCGCATAGACAATTATGGACATCAATTTGGTGATTGGGATAATGTCGAAATCTTAAACAGAGGAAATACCAGAAATGCAGTCAGGGAATTCCTAGAAGCCTCGTACTCAAACGAATATTCAATTAACAAACACGTTAATATAGACCTAATCTACCAACTAATAAAAAGTAAATCATGTGACCAGAAAGTTTAAAATCCAAGTCAATAGAAAATTATGAATACATATGTAAAGATGGTTACCGGGAGACGCAATTCTATCGCTCATGAAGAAATTTAAATCATTTCACTTTATGCTAAAAATCGCTCTGAAAGGAGATGTTGTGCAGAAGGATGGACGACGAAGGCTTCGTAACTAAACCAACCAGCTCAGAGAACACTATTAATTGCATGCATATATATATATATATATATATATAGGGATTAAATTTGTTTTAACGAGTTCAACCACGGATCGATATCAGTTAGAGAACCATTGAATACCAGCACTGGAGTACTGGACAGCTGTTTCCATTGTCCGAGTTTTCGACTCTTCATCAGTACGCACCCAGCGCTAGGGTTCGAACCCAGGACCTTCCGGCTACAACGCAAGCTGGTATGCCATTCAGCCACTGGGACCCAACCCGATTCAGTGGCTAGCCCATGAATTCTCACTTTTACCAACAACTAATGTCATCAGTGGGAAATCCATCCATCCTCACATTTGACTGGTTGGACCTCACCGGTCACTACTTCTTACTAGAACTCCAAGAAGCTCCGTCCTGTAGCAAGTCACTAGCGAGCAACAGATTAATGTTTGGTTTGTAAGGATTAAACTGGTTTTTAAGAGCTTGACCACAGATTGATAGCAGTTTTAATGAAGGTGTAATATGATCAGTAGTTGATTAAAAATGCCTTATAAACTATTGATGATGACATCTCCAGTTTATCTTAACTTCAGAAGCTTCTGCCCTATAAGTTCCAAAAGGAGATTGGTGACAACATTATTTGATCATGTAAGGAATCTGTGATCAAAAGAAAAGATTGGAGAAGAGCTTTCCATTGTGGAGAAATGCCTACTCGACAACGGTTACCCACAAAAGTTCATCGACAAGTATGGGAGTCGTCATGTTGAAAAAGTGAAAAACAGCACAGTAGAGAAAAAGCCTATTTTTCTGCAGCTTGCATTCAAAAAAGGTGATGATACTGCTAGCAGAATAAGATACAGACTGAACGCTACCCTGAAAAGAACATATCCAGCCGTCAAGCTTGTATGTGTTCATCAAACAACTAGTTGTTTGAGACAATCAAAAGTGGACAAATATCCACCTCATGTTACCTCCAACCGTGTCTGCCAATTTACATGTACGTGCCAAAGCACATAAATTGGAAGAACAAGGAAAAGGGTTATTATCCGCATTTCTAAACACATACTAAAGAACTTGAGACTGAAAGGTCCTCAAGCATTAAACAGTGCGATTGCGCGTCAACTATTAGGCACTGATCATATTGTCAACAACCTGAAGTTGTTCAAAGTAATCAACAAGCAAAAGAAACCTACCTTCCTACTCTTTGCTGAAGCACTTGCTGTCAAACGACTTAAATGAAATCTATGTATGCAGAAAGGGACAGTAGTGAATCTTGCACTGCTTTGGTGATAACAAAATATACACAACATTTATGAGTCACCCTTTTTCTTGTTTAGACAATTCTACTGTCTCATCCGAACATGACTCACCCTACCTTGTTTCTTTTCTCTTATTTTCTATTGGCTATTATATAAAACATTTTCTTCTTTAGTTACATAATCTACTTTTTTGTTATGCTCTTTCTAGCTAAACCTTGTTTCTACACACACACATATATACGCAACCCTGTTTTTTGCATCCAAGCCTAATTGTCTAGTTATTCTATAAATAGTCAGTGTTTGTAACTCCTAATCAGTTAAATCATTCCGGACTAATGTTACTTTTAATTCCTACCAATTACTACTCCTTATGGTCGTGGAAAAGTATGTTCATATCTTTACTGTTGTAATTCATATTTTTCAACATTCAGGTTGTAACCAGTTGAGAAGAATCGTCGAAATAATAAAAGATGAGCTCATATTATCCTGGTACAATTGTTGTTCTTGTTTTGTTCAAGTTTATTAATGGGAAGAATTACAGGAAATTATCTCTTAACTGATCAGGTGAGAGATAATGTTTGTAAGGAAATTCTGAAAGCATAGTTTAGGCTGAATAGCTGTTCGAATACCAATCGCCTCATCTGTATGCAGTGGAAGAATACGGAGTTCTTTAGAAAGATTCATTGGGATGCAATGAATCACCCTGAGTGCTTTCGTTCGACCAGATATGACGAGACAAAGCTCAGGACAGTTTTTGCCTATCCTTTACCAAACCACGATGGCAGGTTTTCAAAGTAACACCCTGTCTAGCCTGTCCATCGGTACATCAACATCACTTTCATCTTAGGGAGCAGTTGAGCTGATAAATACGTGTAGATGTCACAAAACTGTCTAGCTTATTGTCTGTTTGAGTCAAAATCATTTTTCGACTGGAAAGCGAGAAATAAAGTTTACTGAGCAAAATATTCTTTGTATACTCTTTTTGCCTACTCTCTGGAACAAAGTCTCATTTGGCAAGTTCCCACTAAGTTGTGGCATAATAAATAGTCGTTTCTTCCGCGTTGTCATCGTCTCTGGTTTTCTTTCTATTCTGTTTATATTTTTCTTTATGAAACTGCTTCAATTGCCCATCTCCGTCAAGGAATAATGAGTATAACCGGATTCCCTTCTGCAAATATCTTTCTTGCTCTGCTCGTAAGACACTTCACGAAATTTCATTTGCATTTAGTAGGAACATAACCAAATAGGTGAGAGTACTGCCCCATGATACTTTCATATTTGTCGATTGCACAATCTATATATTCAATGAAACCATCTACTGACAAAAAGAAAGTATTGTCGTGAGAACTCCTTTAGGTCCTCCTCTTAAACAATTTCCAGTAACCAGTCAGACGAAGTCAGAAATCTATGATTTCCAGTTTTGCCCCAATATTGCTCACCTTATTATACCACTGAACACGGGAGATAGAAAGCATGTACCTATGATGAAAGACAGCTAATCTTTTCATGTCTTCCACTCTCAATGGCCAGGTCTTGCTCACAGCCATAAAGGAGGACGGAGCGGACTGCTGAGCAGTACATACACCCTTTGGTCGATAGCCGGATATAACGTTTACTCCAGAGATGGCGTAAACTGGCACATGCGAAACTAGCCCTCTGTATCCGTACTGAGATTTCGTCAGAGATCTATCTGCTGGGACTGGCTGATGCAACTTCCCAAATAAGTGAAGCGGTCAACGTGCTCTACCACTTCACTCCATATTTCTAAACTAGGAGTCAGTGTAGTCCACTCCAGTCCTGTAGCATCATCTTACATTTGGTGGGAGCGAACTGTGTGCCAAACATTCGTAGATTGCAGCTTAAGGTGTTCAGAAGAGTTTGCTGGATCTTGTCAACGTCCTCCCCAGAAGGACTATATCGTCTGCGGATATTCTAAGTCAGTGAGATTACTCCCTGGTAACAAATGAATCCCTGAGTCTCTGAACTGAGTTAGGGTTGAATCCACTGGTACATCTATGATGAAATTGAATAGAAATGGAGATAATGGGCATCCCTGACGGCCACCACTAGTTGTTACCAGTTTAGACGACAACTCGCCGTAACCTTTCACCTGGCTGACTGCATGATTTCGAGTAGGTGAGTGCCTTAATCAGTGTAATGTATTTTCTTGGCATTATGCATTACTTCAGCATTAATCAGTGGCCGTTTAAAAAAGGGAATTTCTAAAACAAAATAACCTACCTCAACCATAAGAGGTGAATGATATGCACCACCTTTGACACTCTTTTCATTCGTCGTCGTCTTCTTCTTATCGTCATCACTATTGTCCTTGTTATTACTGTTCCCGTTGTTATCATCTTTGCCACCATTATTATCACTGGTATTGACATCATTCATTTCTGTAGGTGATTTATGATTTTCTATTGACGAAGGAGTAGATGAAACCAGTAGAGGATGTGAACCTGGATATAAGTGTGTTGCACCAGACGGCATTCCTCGACTACGATAGGATACTATGCCCCTTTCTTGTAGAAGCTGAGCCAATTGTGATATGGTTGTTTGATTTCTTGGTTTCAATGAATTTATTACAGGTGGTACATGACTATTTTTTGGTTGTTGTTGTTGTTGTTGCGATGATGGTGGCAATGGAAGTGGAGGTGTCGGCAGAACAGGTTTAGAAAACATCTGTGTTCGACTAGATAATAAATTGTTCGATGGTAAATTAGCTTGTGGTGACTACAAAGCCAAAAAAGTGAAGCAAAACAAGCGACTCATTACAAACATAAGTGATGAGGTATATATATATACGGAAAATATGGCCGACGAACTCTTTTTATTGACCCAAGTGTAATTCAAAAAATCAACAATCACTGCAGGTAAGGTATTTATTTATTTATTATTATTATTGTATCCTTTAGTTCCTAGAGGAACATAGGGCTTCAGCTGAGCACCTCCATTGCCTTCGGTTTTCTGACAACTTTTTCACCCTGCTCCAGGTCTGTCCACATGCTTTCATCTCCTCCTCGCATGACCTCCTCCAAGTCACCCTTGCACTGACGACCAACTCGTCACTTCCCTTTCGGGTTCCACTCGAGCGATGGCTTGTCTAGTGATGTCACTTGATGGTTTCCTCAGAGTATGGCCAGCCAATCCATCTCCATTTCTTTCTGCCTATTTGTTTCACAATCGGTTCCTGATTAGTTCGCTCCCAGAGATCCCTGTTGCTGATATTTTCTGGCCATCTGATCTTGAGTATTGAGCGGAGACAGCTGTTAATGAAGGTCTGAAGTTTGTTGGAGATGCTCTTTATGACGCGCTGGTCAAGTCTCTGATCCGTATAGTAGCACTGACTTAACATTGGAGTTGAAAATCCGGATCTTATTTTTGATGCTGAGTGCTGTTGACCTCCACACAGATTTGAGAGTAATGAAAGCTTGTCTTGCTTTTCCGATTCTGGCTTTGATATCCTCACCAGTTCCGCTGGCCTGTAGTTGAGACGATGCTTCCCAGGTAGGTATTAAATAAACTAAATTGCTTTGTTTTAAAGGTTCCACAAGATTGATACTTTGACCAACAAAGCTTGTTTCTAATTGAGTTTGTAGGTGGTTTGAATGCCAGCCACTTTTATTCCTGCCTGCCTTGTTAAGAATTCTGAGTAAGGTTTCCGAGATTCCTTCCTTGTATAGGAGTATTACTGAGGATTTAGATTCATTATTGTTAGTGTTGTCATTATCTTGTGCTTGTTTGATATGCATGTCGTCAATAATGTTATTATTATTATCACTGTCACTACTATCATCATTTATTTCATTTTTACATTTACTTACATATTTCGTGACTAGTTTATCCAGGTAATTATTAATTTTCAAGGCTTCTTTTATGTGTATCACTTCCTCTCTTAGATTTTCCTTGATACTACTTAGTTTTTGTGCTCTGTCACTTAAACATTTCACTAATCCTATTTTTACTGACATAGGATGGGATGAACGGGAGTTCAAATATCTGTTTGAATGTGTGGGTTTTCTGTAAACACTAGTGTTTAACTTCCCATCTTCTTTCCTCTTTACGCTGCAATCAAAGATTGGAAGCTCCCCTTCCTGACTTTCCAATTCATAAGTGGAGTGAATTGCCTCTACCTTCGAAATGATGTGTTCGGAAAATCTATATAAATCCTGTGTTCCTAATACCGCGAATGTGTCATCTACATACCTCCACCACACTTTTGGGTGGGGGTGAACGTTTCAATCGCTATCTTCTCCCACCTATCCATGAATATATCTGTCACAATCGGGGATATTTGTGACCCCATGACAACTCCCTCAGTTTGTTTGTATGTTTTCCCCTGGAATTTAAATACTGTGGAAGTCAGGCATAGGTGCACTCCCAACAATATATCCTCAAGTGGCACTTTCGTCCTAAGTTCCAGTTCTTGGTCAGAAATGAGTTCGTTTCTGAATGTCTCTATAGCCATATTTATTGGTATACGTGTATATAAACTGACAATGTCAAAACTAGCGATTTTTTCTTCATTATCTAATTTTAAATTATCTAATCTGTGTTTTAGTTCATAAGAATTAGCTGGTGAGTTGACCGCCACGTTGCCAGTTATACACCTCAACCGAAATGCCCCAAACTTAATAGGTTTCCTTGGGGCGTCAGTCGATGGTCTGAATTAAATAGTCTGACTTTAAATCCCTGTACATTCTTCAGGAATAAACATGATCTACACGAAGTGGTCTGTTCACAAGATGCTTGTAGCATAGAAGGTATTGAAATTGAAATAAAGTCAATCATTAAATACCTTGGAAAACATGTTTTCTTCTGGCCTTCCTTGGTCATCCAATATCTTGTCGATTTCTAAGTAAATATCCCGTCTACCTTTCTACTTTAAGAAGTTGAGACAATTAGGTATCTGTCAACCTCTACTTGTACAATTTTTGTTCACTCTTATATCTTACCTATTATTCTTTTTTAACCCCCGTCAGCATTTCCTTGGCTACTCAAAAAATGATTATGTCATAAAGCTCCATAAAGCACTAAAGTTTGTCAGTAGGGCAGCCGGTATGCTACCAATTCAGCTGGTTATTATTGCTGTAATAGACAGAGATTTGAACTTATGCGACAAATCGGCTAATTCCGTACTGTTTGACTCTGAAAACCCTCCCTGTCGATTCACAACTTTCCCTTAGCATCTCATCAGGTAGAACTAGAAGTCACTTTAAAAGATTATATGCTCGTACAACCGAGTAAAAAACTCTTTTCAGCGATTTCGTTTCCCGGACTCTTTACCATGTGTTTCTTGATAAATTTGTCGAGATGGCTATTTTCGATCAAAGTATCATATACAATGCTTAATTCATTCATCTTCAGTTACTTCTTTTGAGCATATAGCTCTAAACTCGTGTGGCTGAGTGTCTTTACTAAATGTTTTTTGCACTTGGGTGGAATGAAGCTGTGAAAATGTGTGTATATTGTCCTGTCCAAGTACTTCTTTTATGCAAATTTCTTTTTATGCTGTCATCTGGTTTTCTTGTAAAGAGGACATCCAGGAAGGCAGGCAATTCTGTCTTGGGATTCCTGTTCGCATGTGAATTTCATAGTCGAATGTACTTCATTGAATTCAGTAATTATTGTACTCCTATCCGAATCATTATCACAAAGAATGAAGGTGTCATCCATATACCGGGAATAAAATTATAATTTTCTGATAAGGTTGTATATTTATATATAAGTTTGTATATGTTTATTTTCCTGTGACTAGTCCATATTTGATCAGACTATTCGAAATGTGTTTCGCAAATACACATTACAACACAATTCAGATAAATTACGTCTTCTTATTGCTTTGTCTAAATTCATCAAGGCAACTAGTTATACATGTCCAAACCAAGTTCACTTTTAACAGTTTGAAAAAATTTGGGCATTGGGTATATGATATTCATTATAGTAAAGGTTTTCTTGTATTTCCCAATGAATGAATGTAAAGCAAAATGATATTGTCGTTTTTAATGACGTTTCTCTATATAATGCTGCTGCAAGTAGCTTTATCAAAGTATTATCAAACCGGAATTCACAAAATCTCAGCATGCAGATATATAACAAAGAGTTATTGAAAGTCAAAATAACAATAAAGATCCGTAAACTAAATATCAAAGGAAATAATACATCTGTTGTAGTATCAAAACAAAGTTTACTAACTTGATCATCGTTCGTTAGTCTGGGGTCATTTTTCGTTGTCAAGTTGATCAACTGGTAAAGATAACAAAACCAAGTGTAGATTGTTGGATTTAATCAGTGTATAAAATTATAAAAGCAGTGTATGTTTATATAATGAACTTGCTTATCACATTCGCGTTGATGTTGTCACTTCATGGGGAGGGGAAGGGGGTGCTGTAACCAGGTCAGATTCTGTTTTAGTCCATCATTCCGATTCAGTTCAGACAATTTCGATTAGACTTCATATGAAGTGCTTCTAATATTAGACGTTCTTTGTGATTCCTGAAGTTGTTCTGAATGATGATTTCAATATTGTCACAATCAATTTTGTGGCCTGATTTTATAGTGTGGCGTATAGACGAGCTATATTTGATGATTTTTCAAGTCTTTCTAGTTCAACTGAATTTCTCAGTGGTTAAAGGGACGCTCTAAGGTGTTCATTTCTTCTGATTTTGATTTCTCGAGATGTTCATTCGATGTATATCGCATCACATTCCAAACATTTTATTTTATAGACACAATTAGATAGAGAATCTCTAGGCATTTGGTCTTCTATATGGACAAGTTTGTTTCGCAGTGTGTCTGATGTTTTGAAGGAAACTCTAAAGTCGAGGTGATTGAGTACTATTCTGATGTCGTCTGACGTCTCCACTCTATATGGAATAACAACTGGTGTGGGCCATGTTTTCGGAATGCTCTTTCGGCCATAATTAATTCCTGTATTGATTTTGTTGATGAAGTTCCTTGAGTAGTTATTTTGCTTAAGAGTCTCAGTAATGTTTGATATTTCTTCTTGTTTTTCTTTTTCATCCGTTTTCAGAGAGTGTGCTCATCTAAGAAGACTTGAAACAACTGAAATCTTTGCGCTGATGGGGTGTGATGATTTGAAATCTAAATATTTATTGGAGTGGGTTTTCTTCCCTACTCTTAACTAGGCAGTCTAGAAATGGTAGTTCACCGACGTCTGATTCTGCTTCCGAAGTGAACTGGATTTTGGGAGATACACAATTTATTTTCTCCAGGAATGATAAAGCTATTAGCATTAAATAGTGAAACGTCAGTAAAAACAACGACAAGATCGTTTTGTTTTTCATTGATTGGGAAATACACAAACCTCCATTATAATAAAGGCAACTAATTTTTCAATTTTCAATTTAAGCACTATAAGATATTTCAAAAATAATTAATTAAAACATCAACTTACACTTGAATAAATTTCAGAACCAGATGAAGGCATATTACATTGTGCAGTGTTAAGATTCGATGAATGATCAGTTATTTGTGAATTCAGTGATTCACTGGAATTGCATGGCTGTTTAAAACAACGTGTAAAATGAACGAGAATGATACACATAGATAAATAAATGCTTTTAATATTTCTCAGGTGATACACGATACTTGAGACAACAGGCTTGATAATCAGATATGTTAAATGAAATGATGACTTGCAAAATGAAATCTACTTAGCTCGAATGGTTGGAAGCAATCGGCAGGAAGCCTTGGACCCAGGTTTCCAGCTACTTAGCACTCATCAGCAAGGCGTATCATCAAACGAAACCTAGGCACAGGGCTTCCTGTGAATTGCCTCCAACCATCTAATAGCATCAAATCAATGTGCACCGTGATAGCAAGCCACCTAGTGGCATGGTGGCCACATCGCAAACCTGACTGATAGAATTCAGTCTGCATCAAACACCAAGGATTAGATGCATAACACTTGTTGCCAATTTGTCCAATCAAAGTATTTAATTCGTTTATTTTAATCACCTAACCTTGACAGCAGTCATTCCGACCAAGTGAAGAATGCTCATTTTATGGTGTATCTAACTGAGTAGCTGAAGCATATTAAGACAAATTTTTTTTCATTACTGTGTAAATTAGATCGACAAAATTTAGATTGCTCAGTTTCTGTTCAAAATGTGAGGCGGAGAGAAGAAAGTTCAATGCGGCGAAGAATTACAACGTTTCAAAACAGAAAATAGAAGGAGGGAATTATGATACATTACCGTAAAATGCAGTGTACGTTATGAACAATGTATTCTATAAATAGGTGAACTAATCCTTGAAAGCATAAACAACTTTTGAATTTAATGGAGAAGATTTGTAGCTCAGGTGGATGATTTCAAAGGGGTTGTGTTCTCTGATTTGGATAATTAATATGAGAAGCTTTCATTGCCCCCTACTAGGCAACATCTTCACCACACACTTCAATTCGTTGAAGTGAGCTGTTCTAGATTTCTCCACGAGTTTATTAATTATCTCTCTTGATGACCTTGGACGCGATTGGTTGTTTTTGAGTGTTTTCACACCCTCTAGGCAGCTACTTGTGGTGTATTGTATAGTATTGGAACTGATTGTTTCCTTGACTTGAACTTTGACCCTTTATGTGTTAAGTTTCTTTCTTATAGGCTGATAAATTTTGTCTATCTCTATGTGTGTTGTGATTGACGATTCACCAGAATACCAGGCAGGTTTCTAAAAACTTTCAAGCATTCTTGGTGTTGCCTTTATCTAATATTTGAAAGTTGATTGTCCCAGTCGAATTGATGTCCGTGGTTGTCTATATGTAGTGATATGAGTGATGCAGTGGATGTCATGTCTTTTGACGGCTAGCTTATGATCGTGGATACGAAGACGAAGGGGACGGTCACTTTGGCCAATTTTGGTGTTTTGCACAGTTGTTACAATTTATTGTGTAGATGATGTTGGTTTTATCTTCTTTCGTTGTTGAGTCTTTTGGTTGACATAGAGCAAGCTGAGTGAAGTGATTTTATTGGTTTTTGTGCGATGTCAATTCCTAAAGGTTTGAAGAGTCTTGTAGCGATTTCTGAGATGTCCTTTATTTGTGGTAGGGTGATTTTTTTGGTGATTTCCTTGGTTGGGGCCTTTAATTTGATAGGTTGGCTTGGAGGCATATGTCTTTTGATGAAATTCCGTGTATATCCACGCTCATATATTAGACAGGAAACACAAAGAATGCTTGAAAATTTTTAGAAACCTCCCTGGTATTCCAGTGAATCGTCAATCAATACACACTTCGAGATTTACTAACCGATAAGAACAAAATCTCACACACAAAGACTCATGAAGAAATTTAAATCATTTCACTTTATCCTAAATACTGCGCTGAAGATGTCGTCCAGAAAGACGATGAAAGCTCCGCAATTAAACCAAGGAGCTCAGAGAACACTATCAATTGCAAATCATCCACCTGAGTTACAAATCTTTTCTATTATTTCAAAATCAAAGTTTAAGTCAAGGAAACAATCAGTTTCAATACAATGCAATACACACAATCAATCACGACGTTTAAGGTCACCCACCAGGAGAGATGACTAATAAACTAAACTCGTGGAGAAATCTAAAACAGCTCACTTCAACGAATTGAAGTATGTGGTGAAGATGTTGCCTAGTAGGTAGCAATGAAAGCTTTTCAAGTTAAATATCCAACTCAGAGAACCCAACCATATCAAAAACTTTTGAATTTTTATTGTACATATAGCGTTAACCCCATGTTAAACGACATTACTGAGAACCTGATTGTAGAACAAATGCTCTCTATTGCATAATAACTTCTATCAAATGACTAATATTCAAACATTACATTAGTATATAGCACTAATTGGCTGGTATGAGTAGGCTGGATGTCACTCACGTCAACCAGTAGTGCTTACGAGTTCGATGGAGATTATCTGAACACCTTGAACTTTGTAATTGGCTAATTATCAATTTAATTGAGTGTATTCCCACTTCGCCAAAATGGTTTAACCGGTATCAGGATGCTTCGAACTGATTAAACTCTCTCAAGAGAGATGAACTGAGTACACAGCTGAATAGCTCGACTTCAAACGAACAAAACAGCCGTTCACCGTTTAGATCACAAGCCTGACTGGCTTGTCGATGTGATAGTCGTCTATTCACTCATGTCAGTTAGTAAGTATGATGTACCATCATGCACTCATGCTTGCTGTCTTAGCTACCATTTCGTTCAAAACTGAAAGACAAACTTTAAAACACCTGCGTCTATCACAAGACACAAGAAAAACAAACAAATTCGACCAATTAACAAATGAAAGTTAAAAGTTAAAAAAATAACTGAGGAATTCTGAAATGAAATATTATACCAACTTGTTACCATAATCAGGTATAATTAAAGAAATAACCTTTAAAAAAAATTTCATTCTCGCAAACGGACATCAGCTATAGAGATCTTTGAAAGCCAGGGTGCTTCATCCCAATTTCAGGACTCTTTATCAGTACACACCCATGACCCCAGTAGATTGAAATCGTGACCTTCAAGTTACAAGATCTAGCTCATTTCATGAAAAATTCTCATTCGAATATTAAAAGACAGAAGACCAGCAGTTCAGCGAAGAGGCACTTTTCGACAGCGAATTCATTTTCATAGCTGTACAATCGCAAATATATATGGTTGTTTTGTATGTGTGTGTACACTAAATTTGTCAAACGAAGATACATTTAGTAAGTTCAGATGAATGTTGCATGTTGATCTAAGAGAGTAGTAACAAAAGTGATGAGTTGTCACAAACGATTGTTAAATAAGAGATACGTAATGATGTGGAGAGTTTGATAAAAGAGTTGTGCTCAGGGTGTACATGAAAACAAAATAACATACAGAATTACGCAAGAGTTTTAGTCAACTAGAAAAATAAGCATACAAACAAAAGTTGAGTGAAATCGACGGAGTTGTTACAATGATAGTAGAAGTGGTTGAACAATTTTCTTTTGTATGCATAGTTCTGTTTCTTCTGACCGAATGGGTAGGGCTTCTGCAATGCAAAAAAGACTGAAACGTAATGTCTTTGACAGGCTGTTCATCACTTTGTAGATTACTTTGAAGCAGGAGGCATTTGTTGAGATCGAATGACCAGTGTCGCCGAGATGTTCATTTTTGTTTCCATGTACACCGTGAGCACAAATCTTTCATAAAACTATTCACGCTATCACGTAACTCTTATTTAACAATTTAACAGTGCAGACTAAACTGGGTACCAATCAGTCGAAAAAAACCCGATTCGATCTCTTGTCACTCGCAGCCGACGTATCTTCAGCTCTGATATCCTGGAAGAGGAACTACATTTCCTGAAAGAAACCTCCATACTAAGAAGTTATCCGTCAAGATTCGTATACGAAAACACCAAACAGAAAGTTCAAAAGCAAGAGGCACCATCTGTGCCAAAAAGGTTACTTTATATGAACTTCGACTTCAAAGGTGACCTACTCAGTGATGTCCTTAGGAGGAGAATTTCCACTTCTTTGAGAAGAACTTTCTTTGCGGCAACATTCAGAGTAGTGTTCTCCAGTCGCCTCCTGATCTGCAGAAGCCCAAAGGATAAGACCCCGCACCTGACCACTTCTATGTGGATATATCAGTTCACCTGTTGCTGTGGAGCCAGGTACATCGATCGTTCAACACGCAACCTGTCGAAAAGGGTCAAAAAATACTATCCAGATTGGCTGCAGAAAGGAATTAGTGGCCGTATAACGAGTGCAATTATCGAACATCTCGTCAACACCGGTCATTCGATCTCAACAAATGCCTCCTGCTTCAAAGTAATCTATAAAGTGATGAACAACTTGCCAAAGACAATACGTTTCAGTCTTCTTTGCATTGCAGAAGCCCTAGCCATCCAGTTGGAGGAACCAGAACTATACATACAAAAGAAAATTATACAACCACTTCTACTGTCATGGTAACAACTCTGTTGATTTGACTTAACTTTTGTTTGTATGCTTGTTTTTCTAACTACTTAAAACTCTTGAGTAATTCCGTATGTTATTTTGGTTTCCATGTACACCCTGAGCACAACTCTTTCATCGAACTATTCATGTTATCACGTAACTCTTCGTTAACAGTCGTTTGTGACAACTCATCACTTTTGTTACTACCCTCTTATATCAATATCCAATTCACCGGAACTTACTAAATGTATAATCGTTTGGCAAATTCAATGTACACACACACACACTTACATAACAACTTAGCTCATTGACCATCCAACCATTTGGGCCAGTGTCCAATGACCTATGAAATCTAACTATGTTGATTCGTTATAAAGTGCTACCCCGCCCCCCTCCACCGATGCCTTCAACAAGCATTTATTTCACCTTAATATGGTGGACCAAGTGTTAAACATTTAATGGGTCATGAGTGCACGTTGATGAAAAGTCTCTAGACAGGCTCCACAATCTCGTTAAATGATGTCGGTTCGTGAAGAAATTCAACACCTGAATTTTTATGTAAATCTCTACACATCCTATAATATGAAATTAAAATAATTCCATGCAACA